CTGATCGCAACAGTCATCAAGTCCGTCTTCTCATGTAACTGTTCCAATAGGGCACTTGTTTTGCAGAAAGCACGCACCAGAGCTTCTGAATACATTGTTATACAAGGTCAGAAGTCTGTTCCCACGATTGTAATCTGTTGCAGCTGCAGAGCTCCCAATTTGGATTTAGTAACAGTTTCACAGGCTCCCTCTAGGGGAAGAACTTCTATTTGATCTTTTCTTTTAAGAGTAGATCTAGCAACAAAGTTTCCTTTTTCAGATATTTTGTCAATATTTGTTCCTTTAAAATGCGAAGGAGAACGATGGAATCACTATGTTTCTCTTCTTTTAACTGTCTGTCAAAGACGTTTGTCTATGGTCAATGAACTTCCCAAAAGAGGTCAGTCCTGACACCCCGCTCCCAGGTCCGAGACGGTGGAAAATTACTTTTCTTTACACTCTCTTCTGCAGGTTTAACCAGTCCGGAAAAAATCCCCCCTCTTCTCCTGCTTCCGAAGGGGGTTCAACGATTTTAAATGATGAAAGTTAATCCTTTACAAACAATTTTCTGAACTCTAGTTTGCCATGTCTTTGCTTTAATCTATCTACAAGAAACGGAAGGCTGACTTCCTGTTTAGACCTTCCCGTTTCAGTGCCAAATTGAGAAGAATTTCTTAGTCCAATTTTCCTTTCTACTCGCAGGTCATTATTTAAAGTCCAATTGTTCAAAATTGAGCTACTCACTGGTAGTTGTTTTAAAAGCCAAATTGTCCCAGGAAAAAGGCAGCGCTCTCTGGCAACGGCTACGCGGCTTCGCTCCACGGAAGAAGCAGTTGACTCTCAGCACCGCACCACTTGCCCCTCTTCGCTCCGGAGCCCGTAACTGGGTTCCTTTACGAGTTGGGGGGGCGCGAAAGGTGCCCGCCGAGTCCCATGGTCACAGGCTTCATCCGCCTGTGATTTTTCAAAGGGTCCCCACTTCGCCGTAGCGGAAAAGACCCGTTTTTCGCGGAGCCAGTCCCTCCGGATCAGAGGGAGTCCGCCATTACCGATGGCGCCACCCCGGAAGTCTCACGCGTCTACCGCTCTTAACCACTATACCACACTGGCGGAGCTTCATAGCTGCATCTTCCCTGGATTTCCCTTAGTCCAACACTCTGCCCACCAAGCAATGGCCTTTGACATTAACTACTTGTTTTCTTCGTGGAAACAATTGAAATTAAAGAAGAGAGCCAAGCTTCTCCCACCAAGCAGGTGGCCCTTGGCTGCTGCAGGACTGCGGGGCCAGTTGCAACAACCGAAGCTCCCAGGCTGTAGTCTTATTGTGACATTGCAAGCTATTAATTGGTAGATATGCATGGCTGCAGAGCCTGTTACTACTTATATATGTCTAGTTCTTATGGGCTTAAGGGGAATAAATACCAGGATTTCAATATTATTAAATAAATATTGAGGGGGAATAAATATCAGGATTGTGACATCTTACTATGCACCTCATGGCCTTGGTTTGGCTATGTCTCAAGTGTGATGTTGAAGCACCATGTCCACACATTATTATATCTAAAACTTTAGAGCTGGGTGGATAAAAATCAAAGATTTTTTTAAAAAAAATCCAATTTTTGAAATTTAATTTGGATTTTTAAAATTTAAATCAGATTTTTAAAATAAAATGCTTTTGGGGGGAAAATCTTTCTAAATATAGTTTTCTGTTTAAGTTGCATTATAGACCAAAGGCTATTCATCAGGAAATAAGGATTTGTTTTAAGTTTTTCATGTGTACTAAAACTCAGTCAAAGTTTTTGTTTTGTTTTGTTTTGTTTTAAAAAAACATTTAACCACATCAGTTAACAAACATGGATACATATGCTATGATGTTATTGCTTTAGTTAAATAAATTGTTTAAATTGTTATTAAGGAAATGGTTATTTTTCTCCTTCCAATAAAGTACAGCAGAAAAGTTGTCCAAACATAAACAGTTAACTTATTAAACCTCACAATAATTTAATAATTATCTGTCTATGTATTTCTAATAGTATAACCAAATCAGTAATTTTTTATATAACTGTAAAAACTTCTCTGAAAATTTATTATTCAAAAAATGAAACCTTCAACTGGTTGTCAATATTAAGAGGATGCCAGCAAGGCTGAAGCTTTCTGGGGGGTGGGGAATGATTTAAATGAAATCTTACTGACTAGTGATTTAAATCGTGATTTAAATCAAATCCAGCTTGCTTTAGAGTATTATTTACACAACCTTTCAGATGAATTCTGTTTACAATTAGGTATATCATAATTGGAAATCAAATAAGTGGAAGCTCTCAAGCATAAAGATGTATTCCTTTCTTAACTGTCTGTGAAATAATACAGTATTTCCACTGTTCTGTGGAGCTGTGCGCATCTTTGTTCATTACTGTAGTGTGCAGAAAAAACAAAATGTGCAGTAATTGCCTACAGTAACCTCGAGTGAGTGCTGCTATGCTAAATTTAGCCAGAGAGAACTGCAACTTTTTGTCCCTCGTGTCTTCAAAACATGAGCTGACCCGTCTTCTATTTTTAGCTTTCTAAGTGAAACAAGATGAGACATTGAGGAGCAGTCCAAAGCAGCAAGCTGGTTTCCCAGAATGCTTGAAGAAATGTAATAAATAGGAACTCGTGATTTTTTTATGGAAAGATTAAGGAAGGAGAGTAATTCACATGACCTCTCCAGGGCAACGAAGGTCATTTAAAAGTTCTATTGCTTGTCATCCATTTCCCATAGGTTCACCCCCCCATTTGGTTCCCTTGAAATAGTTGCCTTTCAGACAACAGACCAAATAGGCTGCATTTAATGCAGTTCTTTATCTGTTAAAAATGAATCCTCCTTAAGGAATATGCCCTATCTGGGACTGTTAATTCTTACATTGTTGTTGTTTAGTCGTTTAGTCGTATCCGACTCTTTGTGACCCCATGGACCAGAGCATGCCAGGCACTCCTGTCTTCCACTGCCTCCCGCAGTTTGGTCAAACTCATGTTCGTAGCTTCGAGAACACTGTCCAACCATCTCGTCCTCTGTCGTCCCCTTCTCCTTGTGCCCTCAATCTTTCCCAACATCAGGGTCTTTTCCAGGGAGTCTTCTCTTCTCATGAGGTGGCCAAAGTATTGGAATTCTTACATAGGTAAAGGTAAAGGTACCCTTGAACGTTAGGTCCAGTCGCGGACGACTCTGGGGTTGCGGCGCTCATCTCGCTTTACTGGCCGAGGGAGCTGGCGTTTGTCCGCAGACAGTTTTTCCGGGACATGTGGCCAGCATGACTAAGCCGCTTCTGGCGAACCAGAGCAACGCATGGAAACGCTGTTTACCTTCCCGCTGGAGCGGTACCTATTTATCTACTTGCACTTTGACATGCTTTTGAACTGCTACGTGGGCAGGAGCAGGGACCGAGCAACGGGAGCTCACCCCGTCGCGGGGATTCAAACCGCCAACCTTCTGATAGGCAAGCCCAAGGCTCTGTGGTTTAGACCACAGGGATCTAATTCAGCTGCTTGACTTGACACTGGTAGTTGGTTGAATCTGCTGGGCAGGTTATTCTGTTTTGCTGTGTTGTATTGTTTTTATGATAAGGATAAATGGCGCTGGTTTTATATGAAGCAATACTGTACGGTGTCAGCTGACCTGAGGACCAGAGGCAGATATAGGGCAGCGCGACTGGTCCCATCGCACTGAGCGCTGAGCCTAGGGGGCGCTGCAGGCAGCTGCAACTGTGTTGTAATGAATTGAGCAGAACAGGAGGCAAGAAGTGGAAGGAGGTGCCAAGTTTTGCTCTTGCACTGTTGACATTTGAAAGACCAGTCTGCCTCTGTGAGGGCTCCCAGATGTGGCAAGCTAATGTATTGTCAAAAGGACATCAATGCAAAGTGGGTAAAATGGGGTATATTTGCATACAATTTGCAAGTGCTAATTTATATGTGTAGATGCAACTTCAGAAATACAATAGTCTCACCATAGTGTGAAAGACTGGGACTACGGTAGGTGATCTGCATGCCTGCTCAGTCTGTTCTCCAGGTGCTAATTGCTGAAAGCCCCGTCTCTGCCTTCTTATGGTTCTTTGTCTTTAAATTGGCCTTGGACCTGGCAGCCCTTCAATTAGAGGAAACCTTGAAATAAAGGACTGAGCTCTGTGAAACAGAATACATGGCTACCCTCCTGGAGCCATGTCTGACAAAGTACAACTTTTATAATGAAATAAATCATAAGCATAACTAGGACGCTTATTCCAACTTGTAACGATTTTTTTTCCTAATGGGCAGCATTGCAGTTTCTATGTTCAGTGAGGAAGTAATGGGGTCAGCACACTTCCTGCCTGTGATCTGCATTTTTCTGGTTATGAAGATCCGTGGGTGTAAGCAAACTCCTTTTCAGCTCACACAAGTGCTGTGACCTTGCAAAGGGCTTTCAAGAGAATGTCTTTGTTTGGAAAGCCCAAGTTTTCTATAGAACAAAGTGTTACGCTACCTTTAGTACCCATTTGGGAAAGAGTTGAAGGAGTGACTAAAACCACAAATACTTTTAGGAGATGAAAGAGAGAGGCCTACACTTTAAGAACTTCTAAAATATATGAACTATAAAAGCTAGCATTAAACACACTTGCCTGATGTGCTTTGTGAATTGCGATTATTATTATTTTTTTAATCTTATAGAATCAAGGATATTTTTCCCCAAAATAGATTGCTATTATTATACTTACATTTTGTCCTTTCTAAAAGGAGCCCAGCATGGATACATTTATTTAGTTGTTTATTTAAAATATTTATATATATTGCTACACCTCATGTACCTCCTACCCACCAGGTCTAGGCTGATGCTGTAACGAGGATACAGCCAGGCAGCACAGCTCAGAGAAATGAACTCCCCTTCTTCATTCAACTTGTCTCTGTAATGCTAGTAGCCTGGTCAACCTTCTAATCCAGGATCAAATCCTATATCACAGATGAAATATGTATATAAAAATTAAATTGTCCAGTAGCACCTTAGAGACCAACTATGGTAAGTTTGTTTTTGGTATAAGCTTTTGTGTGCATGCACACTTCTTCAGATGTAAAGATTGGTATCTGAAGAAGTGTGCATGCACACAAAAGCTTATACCAAGAACAAACTTAGTTGGTCTCTAAGGTGCTACTGGAATTTTTTAAAATATATATATATATGTTTCTACTGTGTCAGACCAACACAGCTACCTACCTGAATCTATATCACAGATGCTTTATGACGGACTCAACTGGCATTCAGCAGTATCACTTTAGATCCTGGTTGTTGTTTTTGTAATAATAATATTATTATTATAACATTATATATTATATAATAATATATAATAATGTTGTTGTTGTAATAATAATAATAATAATAATAATATATTACTTGAACCCTGCCCATCTGTCTGGGTTGCCCCAGCCACTCTGGGAGACTTCCAACAGAGTATAAAAGAACACACAATGCACCAAGCATTAAAAGCTTCCTGACACAGGGCTGCCTTCTGAAGATTGAACAATTATTGATCTCTTTGACATCTGATGGGATAGCATTCCACAGAGTGGGCACCACCACCAAGAAGGCCCTCTGCATACGGACTCTGCCTCCAGGAAATACCCGAGACTTGGCTGATCCTCCAACTGCCTCCAGACACTCACACAGGACATTCACTGCCTTCACCAGTTCAGATTTAAATGAGAGGTAAAGCTGGGTATCATCCACATACTGGTGAACACCCTGTCCAAACCCCCCTGATGATCTCTCCCAGCAGCTTCATATAGATGTTGAAAAGCGGGGGGGGGGGGGGCATGGAACCCTGAGGCACCCCACAAGTGAGAGCCCATGGACTCACTCATCCCCCTGCACCACTTTCTGGGCATGGCCCCCAACTCCCAACCCTTCTAGACGGTCCAGAAGGATACAGTGGCTGATGGTATCAAAAGCCACTGAGAGATCCAGTAGAACCAGGAAACAGCTTTTACTTCTGTCCCTAGCCCACCGGAGATCATCGAGCAGCACGACCAGGGTGATTTCAGTGGGGCCTGAAACCTGACTGGAAGATATCTGAATGGTCCACATCCTCCAGGCATGCCTGGAGTTGTTCAGTGACCGCCTGCTCAATCATCTTAGCCGAGAATGGAATATTTGAGACTGGAAAATAATTGACCATAATGGCTGTGTCCAAAGATGTTTTTTTGTTCTGGGAAGACTCACCACCCCATGGAGCCCATTATCCAGCCCTGCCTGGCTTTTATGAGCCAAGGTGGGCAAGGGGCAAGGAGACAAGTGGTCAGTTTCACTTGTTCAAGCAGCCTGTCCACATCCTCAGAGGTAACAGGTTGAAATTGGTCCCATACAACAGAGTACGGGCACAGCCCAGCCCTGCTACAATGGTGGAGTCTACCTCTCTCCGAGTTTGAGCAATTTTATCTGCAGAAAGCTTTATAAAATCGTTGCAGGAGATCTTGGAGTCGTTACCAGATCCTGATGGTAAAGGTGCTTCTGTTAGACTACAAACCACCTGAAAGAGTCTCCTTGAACTGTTTTCCGCAGATGCAACAGAGGCAGCAAACAGGGTGCACTTCACTGTTGCTATCGCCTCTTGGTGTGCTCAAAGTTGAGCTCTATCCTGTGTTAAGTCCATTTTGGAGTGAGTTTTCCACCCCCGGTGCTCTAGCCGTCTCAGTGATTGTTTCATCATGAGTGCCGCACCCCATAGTCGCTGTTGAATGCACTTAACCGTCCAGGGGTCCTTGACCTTGACCTTCGTCACCCTCAGCCCCTGGGAAAAGCATAGGGCCATGAGAGCGCCATGCTGTTGGAGAGGGCACTTCAGAACCAGACAGTTGATAGCCCTGGTTAACTCTGCATTCCAGTGGGCCACCAGGAAATCAGCTGAAAGGCTATCTGCATGGGTTAATACATTCCCTACCACTCTTTGGAAGCCATTTGGATCCATTAAGTGGCAGGGGCAGACCATTCATTTTGGTCCCACCTTCCTGCAGAGGGGAAGGGTCATAGAGAAGTCTAGCAGACCATGCCACTTCTTTTGTTCCACTGGAACTTAATGTCAGATCACCCACGTCCACAGAGGTAAACACCAGATCTAAGGCAAGTCAACTGCTATGAGTATAGCCAGATTTATTCAGGGACAGCCCCATGGAGGCCATGCTTTCCGTGAAGTCCTGAGTGACCCCCTTGTAAGGTTGTGTCGGCATGGATGTTAAAATCCCCTAGGACAACCAAACTAGGTAGCTCTAGGAGAACATCCGCCACAACCTGAAGCAGCTCGGGCAAGCGGGGAGGTTGTACACCAATAGGAATCCTGTACTGCCCCTATTATCCAGCTTCCAAAACATGCACTTAGAAAAATGGGTCTCTAATAGGACGCCTGGTGAAAACGAAGGACTTCTTAAAAATCACTGCAATCCCACCTTCACCTACATGACCTAGAATTCTGACAGAATCAGAATTCTGCTGATTCCCTGATGGCCTGCTGTACTTAAGAGAAATCTGGTGGACAGGCAGCAGCAGGAGCAGGCCCAGATGCCACCTCCAACCACATCTGCTAGGTGGTTATCAAGAGGAGTTAAGGCATTACTGTTTAGGTCCACTTACTCAGGCACAGCAACACACACACACACACACACACACACACACACAGCCTACTTCACCCAATATTTGTAACTCACTTCACATTTTCCACAAAGTGAGAATACAGCCCGACACAAAACTTCACCTTCCCTTAACCCCCACCTGATGCAAAACTTCAGTCAAGAACCTTCAGCTTTGATTACAGTGGTACCTCGGGTTACAAACACTTCAGGTTACAGACTCCACTAACCCAGAAATAGTACCTCGGGTTAAGAACTTTACTTCAGGATGAGAACAGAAATTGCGCGGCGCCAGCGCCTTGGCAGTGGGAGGCCCCATTAGCTAAAGTGGTACCTCAGGTTAAGAACAGTTTCAGGTTAAGAATGGACCTCCAGAACGAATCAAGTTCTTAACCTGAGGTGTCACTGTATACGTTTTCTACATAGGTTCCAAACATAACCAATTATACCTGAGGAGAACCCTGTTCATCCTCATAGTAATGCTGTGGCGCAATTTAGGCTGAGTTACATTGAATGGCTTGTCATTGCCAGTACCTATGGCTATAAATTGGCCCGGTGCATTTTGCACATGAGAGATGCTGCAAACATTGCTTCGTTATCTCTTCACAAACACATGTTCTTTTAAATGGGAACAAGAACCATTTGCTTCTTGTGCACAGTAGATAGTCATAAAATGAAAACTATTCAGCCAAGCTTAGACTTGACGAAGGCCAGATCCACACCAATACCCATTTAAGGCAACGAATCTTGGGAACTATAGTTCCCCCTCGCAGAGGTACAATTCACAGTACCTTTAACAAATGGCAGGTTCCTTTTTAAGCGAAGCTTATGTTTGTGTTCTCCCACTTTCACATACCCACTGCAATATACCTTGTTCCAGTAAAGCATGCCTATTGAACATAGATTCCTCCAGATAATGTTGTATCGAAAATCCCATAAGCCCCAGTAAAGGATGTCAGAATACTTTTATACTAGTAGAATTATCATTCAAGTTGTGATGAAGAGACTCCTTCCTTTGAACTTCTCCCTGCCTATGAAGAGAGCCAAAAATGAAATAGTACATGAAGCTGAATTATTTTAGTTCCCCCAAGCCTTTCATTTCATTGCCTTACAGAATGGCAGCAATCTGCAATTTAGAGGGTTTGCTAAACGAAATGCCTCCATGGCCTGGCCTGGCAAATTCCTGGATCTCAGCCACAGCTGTCGTCAAGAAAAGTTCTGTTTCAGGAAACTAATAGTGATTTGCTTGTCAGACTCTATTTCTCAGAAAACATAATGAATTTATATTTGTATTTCCTGTTGTGTGTGTAGTAGGGTTGCTTTCCTTTTGGATCTAATATAAAAACCACCTTGTTGATCAATTATTCTTCCATTATGAAAGTAACATTAGAAAGTATTGTTGGATGGCAGGTTGAGAGGAGTGCCCTACCTACCAGGACAGACTTTGCTCGTGTGCTCAAGACATCAATATTTTGTTGCACTGTTCAAAATATGAGCAAGCCAGGGCTGAACTGATACTACCCTTGCTGGTACCTTTCCTGGGAAAATCAGAGGCTCACTATGTCAGGTTCCTATTGGAAGACCAGACAAATGCTAGAACATTAGCAGTGGCAAAGTTTTTATTGGTGGTTGCAAGAACCAATGATCCCTATATTCTGAACAAAATGCATGTTTAACCTGGAGGTAGGCTGTATGAATTGTGTATTGCTTTGTAACGATTTGTTGGGTCTCTGGACCGTAATAAAGATTGATTGAGTATTACTATTTTATAGGGTGAGATATGAGAAGGCAGCTGTTTGGAACAAATAGAACCATAACAGATTTATTCTAGGCAGGTTAGCAAACTTTTATTTTTATTTTTAAGAGCCTTTAATTATTCTTTTTCCTGCTTAAAAATAAAATATTCAGAGTTCCAAAATTTCACATACCTGTTGGCTAATACCAAGCAGCTTTCACTGCTCACCCTTCTCATGAGTTCTCTGTGCTTCTCGAAAAAGTTCTGCCTTGTGGAAGAAGAATTACTTCATGGGGCACATCCGGGGCTGAGGTTTGTTACCCAGGTGACAGAATTCACTGTTCTCCATTGTATGAGGCCGTTAAATCAAAGGAAAATGAAGGTAACTTACTTGGATGGGGGTGGGGAGGAAATCAACTCTGAACTCAGAACCTGACAGGAAGTGGCACATGGCTTGCAGCTACAATAGTAGGCACAAAAGTATGGTGGCACGCAGTTCACACAGCTGCTTATCGTGTATTAAGGACCAAATAATGTATGTTATGGAAGAGTTAATGCATTTTCTGTTCACTGTCCGCACTTCCATGATTATATACTACTGCATTATGTTTTGGGAACTGGTTAACTGAATCCATTCTATGTTTCCTTCTGCAAGAATGAGAAGTGGTAACTAATGTAGTATTATTAGGGACTTGTATTCCATACCTCAGTTTTCCAAGAGTACACTAATACACACTATGTTTTAAATTTATTTTTTTTAAAAAAATGTCTGCTGGACAATTTATTTCGTCTGCGTCAGACCAACACAACTACCTACCTGAATCTATATTTTTTTTGTTTTTGTTTCAGTCAATCGCTTCAGCTGACATGGATTTAAATCAGCTAGAGGCTTTTTTGACTGCACAGACGAAGAAACCAGGAGGCATCACAACTGAGCAAGCTGCAGTTATTGCCAAATTTTGGAAAAGCCACCGAGTGAAAATTCGAGACAGCCTTATAAACCAAAGCAAGTGGGAAAATAGCTTGAAAAACATCAGCTGGAGAGTGGATTTAAAGTCTCAGTCAAGACACGCTGACCAGTTAAACAACCCTGTGGCAATAGTTGAAATGGAACTGGGGAAGCAAGGACAGGTGAGCAATTTTTATCTTGCTTTATCAGTGTGAAAATGTTTCTTAAACATGGGGTTCAGCTTCCAACAATGTCAGACAACTGAGAAACCATACAGACACAGATCACTCTGCCAAGTTGTGGGTATCTATTGATACAATCTTAGAGTTTATTGTTTACTCAGGGGTAGAGAACTGGTTCTCACCAACAGAACTGATCTTTATCTTCCCCCATCCTTTGTGGAACAAGACTGGCAGGTTTGTCAGTCACGTGACATCACAGTGATATCAGGTGAAGCATTTTAGTTAGCACAGTTTGGAATCTAGTCAAAGGCACGATGCTTTGCCAAGCCCCAAGAAGCATCTGGTTATCAGGACTTGCAAAGTGCTTTGCATGGGCTTTCAAAGTCCCAACAATCAGCTGATTGTTGATAGGCTTTCCAGGCACTACCAATCAGCTGATCACTGGTGTCTGCAGTCCTAAACAAATGTACATTAGATGTGAATATGGTTGAAAAGTGTTTTACTTATTTTCAGGTAAATATATGTAAAGGTAAAGGTACCCCTGACCATTAGGTCCAGTTGCGGATGACTTTGGGGTTGCACGCTCATCTCACTCTATAGACCGAGGGAGCCGGTGTTTGTCCGCAGACAGCTTCTGGGTCATGTGGCCAGCAGGGCTAAGCTGCTTCTGGTGAACCAGAGCAGCGCACAGAAATGCCATTTACCTTCCCGCCAGAGCAATACCTATTTATCTACTTGCACTTTTGACTTGCATTTGAACTGCTAGGTTGGCAGGAGCTGGCACCAAGCAACGGGAGCTCACCCCATCGTGGGGATTTGAACTGCCGACCTTCTGATTGGCAAGTCCTAGGCTCTGTGGTTTAACCCACAGCGCCACCCGCGTCCCCGAGCCTGCTTCTACACAAATCCTGTTCTGCAATAATTACACATGTGTGAGCCTGCTTCTACGCATGTAGAATTATTGCAGAACAGGAGCTGACTCCCAGTTACCTTCCGTGTAAGAAAAACACCATGTGTGAAGAAGAGAGTCTTTGGTTGAGAGCCTTGGTGTTGTTGTGATGAGAGCTTTACAATTGCGCATGCAAAAAGCTATTTTGAGATATCTACTTGGCTCTGAAGCTCACTGGGCAAGTCACTCTTTCACAACTTAGTTAGCTGACAGAGCTGTTGTGAAGTTCAAATGCTATTCTCAGTTCACTGGAGGAACAGTTAGGTATATATAAGGATTTAGCCAGATTTTGGGGTGGGGGATCTGTTCTCAGCTTTTTGGTTCTTCTTGGCACCTACTAATGTTAAATATAAGCATGTCGTGCAGCAGTACTATCGCTAACTCTCTGCTCAAGATAAAAGTATTTACTTTAATATATGCTTCTGAAAGCATTACATCTCTTAAATGCATTACCTTCCTAAAGTCACTTTCTCATTTTAGTTTTACACTCATCCCAAATAACTAAAATCAGATCCTTCATCTGATATTCCTTGATCTGGTCAAAGCTAATGATAACGTCATCCTGTGAATTTTTCTCAAGACCTTTATCTCAGATAGTTTATTGTACAAATAGTTTAAGTGACCTGAATAATTCTCTCTCCCCTCCCTGTTTCAGAATGTGCTGGCATTTGTTATCATTACCATATGCCAGCCATTTTAAGATTGTGTTCTTAGGAAACTTGGCATTCCACAGAAACTGACCAGAGATTCCTTGAAAAGATGCTTAGCCTTGGTGGACAAGCAACCAAGTACACAGATTGTGAGAAACGGTGGAACTTTTTGTGAAAGGCACTATCTCAAGGGAATGTTGAGTGCATTTTGAAATGCATACTTAATGGAGAAGCAGTTAGGCCTGGATGGCACCCTTCATGACCTGAGAATGCCCTCAGAATCTATTTCAGAATCCTTTGCAATGTGTAGGAATTTTTACAGTTATCTCAAAGGGGAAGAAATAGAAAGTTGGAAAACTGTGGTTGTATCAAATTTGTGTGGTTTGAGTTGATTGCCATTACAGACTGATCACATGAAATAGTGGTTTCTACATATATTTTAAGGGACGCGGGTGGCGCTGTGGTCTAAACCACAGAGCCTAGGGCTTGTCGATCAGAAGGTCGGTGGTTCGAATCCCCGTGATGGGGTGAACTCCCGTTGCTCGGTCCCTGCTCCTGCCAACCTAGCACTTCAAAAGCACATCAAAGTGCAAGTAGATAAATAGGTACCGCTCCGGCGGGAAGGTAAATGGTTTTCCGTTCGCTGCTCTGGTTTCGCCAGAAGTGGCTTAGTCATGCTGGCCGTATGACCCGGAAAAACCGTCTGCAGACAAACGCTGGCTCCCTCGGCCTGTAAAGTGAGATGAGCGCCGCAACCCCAGAGTCGTTCGCGACTGGACTTAACTGTCAGGGCTCCTTTACCTTTACCTTTTTAGAAGCAGGCTCAGCAAAGGAAGCAGCAAAGTTAGAGGTGTTAAGAGGCAGGAGAAAGCATTCAAAATGTCTTTTATAGTAGTTGTGGAAAGACTTTGCACAGACGCGGAGGAGCAGTAGTGTTTTCCCATTTCCTGCAACTTTAATCCAGACTGTTACATGTCTTTCCTACTTTACTTTTGTATGACAGGTGTAATGGTGGCAATTTATTAAAAATATACTATCTCCCAAGTGAAAACTATTAGAAATCGGTCACCCTAGTGACCAGGATAAATGTAATCGCTTGAGCTTTGTTCACCTTGAAAATATACGTATTAGCTGGAACAGTTATGTAACTGGATAAAGTGAAATGTGAAAAACAAAAACTAAACAATAATAAAAGGGCAAGGATCACACTGCTGAGGGAGAAGTAGAGTAAAACAGATTTATTATGCTGAACGCTGTTTAAAAGCTGTGCACGATGTCAATGGTTATTTTTCCTCTACATTATTTCTCTACTACATCATCAAACACTGAACAAAAAAAAAAAGTGTTAGCAGGATACAGTTGGGAACAAGATCACCTTGAATATTTTCTGTTGCCACTTACTCCCAACCCCTGCCCATCTCTGAGTCCACTTCTGGCACCTGAGCCTCATTTGTGAGAAAGGTGGCTGGGGAGGCTTTAGTGCATCTTTCGTTACTCCCTTTTGCTCTTAATTTTTTCCTTTCGGTGTATGTATGCTGTTATTTATCCAGTTCCTTAACCTGCGCATTGGTCAGTAGCACCTTTTCTTTCTCCTGTTGCTGAAGGCAAGTGCAGTTTTCAGGTTCCTCAGCTTGTTTGTCTGTGCCATCTAAAAGAAGCAGAAAAAAGAGGAAGAATAGGTTGCTTCTGAAAAGGTGGGAAGTTCTACTTTGTAAGTAAGCTCCCACCCAGAATATGCTCCATCTCTAGGATGCTTCTGAGCTCAAAGCTGTGAAAGTTGTAGCTGGCATCTTCAAAGGTCAGCTGGATCTTTGTCCCACTGTTCACTTCCGCCAGCATGCAAGTGCCAACTCACTGCAGGATAGATCTTCAACTTCTAATCAGTCTCCTTGCACTGACTGAGTGCTAACAGAAGATGTTGCAATTCCTCCAGTGCTTGCCTCTCTTCTTGTTCTTGCCTCTAACCTATTGTGGGGAAAGAGGAGCACCAAAAGCTTCATTCTAGAGCACTGCTATGGCTTCTTTAGGCAATAGTAACTTTTGGTATACAGTGATGTTGGAGGTGTTTGAAGACAGCTCTTCTGTAGGTCTTTCTGTGTCCCAGGTGATAGTGCTTTGGCTGACTTTGGGCTGCTCACTGGGTTGGTACCACATGCAGTCAGTCCAAGCCTTGGAAAAGGCCGCTGTGAGTACTGCCCAAGGAACAGAAGTGCTTGATCATGGTGGCCTTTGCAGAGTTGGCACCTGTCGCTGCCTTGAGATTCCTAGGATGCAGTGAGGAGTCTGCCTTGACAGGCTGGTTTCCTTGTGCAAGTTGGTCTGGACCGTTCTACTGATGCTGGTTAGGAACACAATGCCACTCCTCGCAGCATAGCCAGGAGTCGTGTCTCTCCTACCTAGAAGGGTGGTTGCCAGCTTGTGGGTGGGCATCATCCTGGGTTCCACTCCTGAGCATTTGCTATGAGTGATGATTTCCTTGTTCTTCGTTTTCAAGGCATTCCTTTTTTCCGTGCTCTGCTGGCACATTTCCTTGGAGAGCCAGGTAAAATGGCATCTTCCTTAAACTAATGAGTGAGTTTCTCCTGGATGTTGGTAGTGGACAAAAGATCACTAAAGACCCCAACCTCCTCCTCTGTCTATTATTGTGTCTTTTCCGTCAGGGGTGCCTTCTGCCATGAGTCAAGGGATTCCAAGGACCATTTGAATGGCAATTCCCATCAACTTTGGGGAGGCCCAGCCCTCTCAAATATTTTATTAGGAGGGACCAAAGAGACCTCACCCCCTAGGAGTTGGCTCCTAGGCTTGCCAGTGAGGGAGGGTGTCTGTGACAGAAGGAATTTGCAGACCATACCTGTGGGTCACCTACGCTGCCCAGTGTGTCATTTAGCTTGGTGGGAACGCCCTAGAATGGTGATCTCTAGAAGCAGCATCTCTGTTGTTGTTTTTTTTAAATGATATTTATTGAGAATTTTAAGATTACAAAGAAACAAAGAAAAAAAAGAAGGAAAAAACAAATAACAATTAAACAATACAGATCGATAAAAATCAAAGTCAAAAAGCAAAAGCAAAACGCATAATACATCAAAATTTAAAAACAGATCCAGTATTCCCAAATCCTTAACTGTCATTACCTTATTTCATTGACCTCCTCACACCTCCCTTTTTTGTATTCTAGTTGTTAATTATCTCAGCAAATCCTTTCCATCTTTCATAATATTCTGTCGTTAAATTACCTTAATCTATTTTAACCTTATCTTACCATAAAAAACCCTAAAACTTAAAACTTAAATCTTATTTATACCAATTTCTCATAACCATAACATATTCTTACATAATTCTTTTTAACATTTCTGCTAAAGCCAAATAGTTTCGTTCCAACATTTTTCTAATACTCATTAATTTTACAAAACTTTCCTAAATAATTTTTTTTAAACTTTCTTCCAATCTTCATCCAACGTCTCTTCCTCCTGGTCTCGGGTTTTGTCAGTCCTTTCTATCCCATCCATCTAGTTCATCAACCTGGTAACCTTATGTCCGAGGCCCTTAAATCTCTTCCATGTCCCTTCCGCAGGTCTTCCTCATATTTATACCTGTATTTTACTTTGTCTTCTGCTCCTTTCACTCGTGGAGACTCCAGCTTGACGATATTTTTGTCCCTTCTCGACAGATCACCCCCTTTTCCATAGTCAACACTGAACTCCATGTGGTATTTAAAAGCATGTTTCAAGGTCCCTCCAAAGTTAAGGGCCACCACAACTCCGAACTCCTCCCGGCCCAAAGCCAGATTTGAAAGGTCAAAACATCCCTGCATAGGGGGGTCTATCCAGCCCCCCATCTCCAAGCCAAACAAGACTCTATCTCTCCAAATCTGGCTTTTTCCAGGTTCATTCGTCAAATCCAACAACTCATGTTCCTGCTGGGCCACAGTTCCCTCCATCTCTGCCTCCCGAGGTCCAGCAACAACCTCCTCCCTCATCTGATCTGTCAGAGCACACTCCTGGATTAATTCCTGAGTGGGTTCTATATAGATACCCACTGCCTGTCCAAAATTTCCGATCGCAACAGTCATCAAATCCGTCTTCTCATGTAACTGTTCCAATAAAGCACTTGTCTTGCAGAAGGCAAGCACCAGAGCCTCCGAGTACATTCTTGTACAAGGTCAGAGTCTGGTCCCACGATCTTAATCTGTTGCAGCTGCAAAGCTCCCCAGTTCAGATTTAATAACAGTTTCGCAAGCTCCCTCTAGGGGAAAAAGCTTCTATTTGTATCCATCTCTTTTTCTTTTTTTTAAAGCAGATCTAACAACAAAGTTTCCTTTTTCAGATATTTTGTCAATATTTTGTTCCTTTTAGATGCGAAGGGGAAACAATGGAATCAATATGTTTCTCTTCTTTTAACTATCTGTCAAAAACGTTTGTCTATAGTCAATGAACTTCCCCAGGACGTCTGTCCTGACACCCCGCTCCCAGGTTCAAGATGGTGGAAAATTGCTTTTCTTTACACTCTCTTCTGCAGGTTTAAACAGTCCAGAAAAAGTTCCCCCCTCTTCTCCTGCTTCCAAGGGGGGTTCAATAATTTTAAATGATGAAAATTGATCCTTTACAGATGACTTTCTAAACTCTAGCTTGCCGTGTCTTTGCTTTAATCTATCTACAAAAGCGGAAGGCGGACTTCCTGTTTAGACCTTCCCGCTTCAGTGCCAAATTAAAAGAAATTTCTTAATCCAATTTTCCGTTCTACTCACGGGCAGTTATTTAAAATCCAATTGTCCACAGGAAAAAGTCAGCGCTCTCCGGCAACAGCAATGCGGCTTCACTCCGTGAAAGAAGCAGTCGATTCAAAGCACCGCGCCACTCACCCCACGTCGCTCCAGATCCCCGAAACCAGGGTTCCCCGCGAGTAGGGGGGGCGCAAAGGTGCCAGCCGAATCCCACGTCCACAGGCTTCTCCCGCCTGTGGTTTTTGATGGGTCTCCGCCTCGCCGTGGCGGTTCAGACCCTTTTTTCCACGGGGCGGATTCCTCCCGATCGGAGGAAATCCGCCATTGCCAGAGGCGCCAACCCGGAAGTCCTAGAAGCAGCATCTCTGAGCCCCTTAGCACTGATCATAAAAGACCACCTCTAAAATGTGTTGTGAAAGCACATGCCCAAAGCAGCTTAGATCAGTGAGTAGGTTCAGACAACGTTATTGAGATGTCCAGGCACTGTGTGGATTGTTCTCCAGGTGGTTGCAGAAGAGGAACCAATTGCAAACTGCAGGCTGCAAGCTTTTTATGGGGAGGATTGAGGTTTGTTTGAAAACTCACTGTTTGGTTTTATCCTCCTAGGATTTTGTGGAGTTGCTGTGCGAACTACTTAAGCCTTAGCCGTTTTACAAGTGTTAATGATTTCTGTTTTTTCCCCACCACCACCACCACCACCACTACTCCCAGTTGAATTGCTGTTGTGTTTTTCAATCTAAGTAATTAAAATACAAATAATTTTGACTATGCTAGTGTACTATTCAATTTTACATTGCTTTTTATGATTTTCAATTTTATACATTTCAGTAATTTTACAATCATTTTAACATTTTGAAACCTGACTTCCTTCCCCCTCTTTCTGAGGTTCCTTAAATTTATTTTTTATATTTTCTGCCTATTCCATATTAATTAAATTACTCATTTATTCATCTACTTTATACAATTTTACATTGGTGCTTTGCCATTCATACCCTTATAGATGTTAACTGGACTGCAGTCATCTCCTCTCATTGTTGAGAAGCAAGGCTGCCTGCTTGGCAAGGAAGGGCTTGTCATGGAGGAGCAGGGCAGGGAAGAGTTAGGAGTGAGATAACCTTTGACGAAAGTGTGAGCAACAGCCGCTTAGCTTAGTGAACTAGTGAACTTAGCCTAGTGAACTTAGCCGCTCAAGCCATTCGTGCCTTGAGACTCTGTAGCATGGCAAACATCTTGGACAGGATGGGCAATCAAACCATGGTTAAGGGAAGGCGCCAGGTTCAAACATAACACCAAGCCATATTTAAAAGAAGACATGATTCATAAGCTAACAACAAATCATAGTTTTAGATTGTGGTTTGTTGGCCAAAACAAGTCGTGGTTAACTGCAGAGCAGGGTTTGGAGACTTGAACAAAGCATAGTTAGGCTAAACAGACTTTGGTTTTGTGCATATGAAGGAAACCAGCAAGAGACAAGAACTCAATAGTAATTCTTGAGATTTCATTTTGCTGCCAATCTTGAAAGACGTCACTTTAGTTTTTCATTAGCATGCAAATAGAATGTGGTGATGGGTTAATTGAAGAAGCAGAATGAACTAGGCTGAAACTGTTCTGCAGCTGCCAATGTCTCAAAAGACTCAGCCAAAGTAGAGTTTATCATGTGATGTTTACTTGCCTGGCATATCTGACCTTAGGTGAGGAAATGAAGCAGGATGACCATGATCAAATCCACTAAACCCTCTTTAATATGCAGCTCAGAGAATATTGACTGTCCATTTCTTATGCAGATTATGTTAAGGATAATGGTTTAATTTCTTGAAATGGGACTGTTTACTTATGTTAAATTACTGTGTATATTCAACTTGGGGTTTTTCCTTTGGCAATAGCTCTCATGTGATTGGCTGATTGTGAGACACACAAGGGAGGCATTCCATTCTGTTGTGACTGTTATTCAAGTAGCTGTTGTTTTTCTCTCTCTCTCTCTCTCTGTGTGTGTGTGTGTGTGTGTGTGAGAGAGAGAGAGAGAGAGAGAGAGAGAGAGAGAGAGAGAGAGAGAACGGCTGCTGAGAGAGGTTTCTCTGTATACCAGGGGTCAGCAACCTTTTTCAGCCGTGGGCCGGTCCACCATCCCTTAGACCATGTGGTGGGCCGGACTATATTTCAGGGGGGGGGGTGAAAATGGGCCAGACTATATTTTGAAAAAAATAATGAATTGAGTTCCTATGCCCCACAAATAACCCAGAGATGCATTTTAAATAAAAGGACACATTCTACTCATGTAACAACATGCTGATTCTCGGACCGTCCGCAGGCTGGATTGAGAAGGTGATTGGGCCACATCCAGCCCGGGCCTGAGGTTGCCTACCCCTGCTGTATACTGCTGAGGACAGTGTGTGTCAGTGTGATCTTTCTGAAGTGAAACAGAAGATCCCTAAATGTTCACAGGGAGAAACGTGCAGGAGCTGTCTATAAGGAACAAAGTGAATAAGCATGAGATTGTAAATATATTCTTCTCAGTTATAGATTATGAAAGTATAGTTCTTTTGAATAAAAGTCTTCCAAGGCAAACCTTTGGTCCCTCTAGCTCAGTGCAGCCAATGCCCACAAGAAGCAGCACTTTAGAGTTCCAGCCCTGGGTCCCTCCCAGCCTCTCTGGAGGGGATTGAACAAGAGACTTTCTGCATGCTACTGAACTGTGGGCTTTCCCCACTATCTTAAATGTCTTGCTTCCAACGCTTCGTGTATTTAATGCTATAATACATGAAGAGTTGGAAACAATACATTTAAGATAGTTTTTTTTAAATAAAGCTTTGCTTTGTTAAATGTGCATTCTGTATTTGAGGTCCTTTGTAATATTTTATTCCAAAATATTACAAAGATAATTTTTTAGTTTTCTGTTAATTATCTTGCTTTGAATGTACACTTTATAGTTGGCTTTCTTCTGTAATATTTTATTTTGGGTTGTTTTATTTGATGTTTTAATGTAGTTTGTAAACTGCTTGGATATTTTTTTCCTTAAAAATATAAAGCGGTATAGAAATGAAATGAATAACAACAAAGTAATAACTTTGGGTTGTATCCTGTGGTACAACTCAGCTAACGGAAAGACTTTTGTCAGCAGAATGGAGAGGAAAGCTATTCCACCACCAACCTGCCACATCGCCTGGCATCCTAAATCTGTTTTGGAGAATCCCCCAACACTCCAGAGCAGTTTTTTGGGTATGGGGTTACAGGAGGGAGAGAGAATCACCAAAAATTGCTTCCCTCCCATTCTTACCAAGGAGCAGCACTGGTGGACACAACCCATTTTACTCATGCGATCCGTGTCACTTAGGTTAGTTGTTGCTGCCTGTCTGAATTTCACCCAGTGTTTTCTGAACTCTTGCGCTGCCATTTTATAACTAGTTCCAGCTTGTGGACCACAGGGATCTGGGTTTGTTTTGTTTAAAAATAGTGTTCTCAAGTCTGGTTCTCCCACACCGATGTCAAATTGAAAAAGGAACCATTCTTATTATTAGCACAGTGGAAAGGTGTGTGCCTCAAACCTGCAAATGTGAGTGGAATGCTTTACTTGTGGGTGGGTAAATTTACTTAAGCATCAGGTGTAAATAAGCAGGGAATACACTAGACATTCTTTAGCATCTGGGGGGAAAATCAAATATGATGCATCCAAGGAAAATTCAAGGTATTGCTGTATGAGGGACAGGAGGAAGAAAATGTAAATCTTTCCTGTCCACAGACATTTTCATCCCAATTTCTGGCTTTATGCACCAACTGCCGTCCTTTGTTCAGTCCCCATGTCTTCCTCATACTCTGTCTTATTAAGGTCTAATAAGTACTCTTAAAGAGGATCTTCCTGGATCCAATTCTGCTTGATAACTGCCGCCCAGATGCCAAAACCGTGTTTTGGAAGGAAGGTGATCAAGAGGGATTTAGTGATGTAACTATGATTCTATTGAATTGGATCATTTTTCTAGATGCCTTTTGATCTGGTCACGAAAAGGAGTTGCCATTTTTGGCCCATAGTGGCAGGCATAGGTCAGAGATAAAAAACATGGCGTCAGAGAAGTTGGCTCTTTATTCAAAGAGATCCCAGTAACTCCTCCCAGTAGGTCTTGTTCCAGTGAGGCAGTTGCAAGGACTGAAGGTCACCAACTTCTCAACACTCTCTAAGGCTCCTTCTCTCCAGGGCCTTTCTCAAGCAGTCACAAATTGCATCTGCACACAACCAATCTCTGCTCTGCTCTTTTCAATTCTCCGCGGGTTTTAGGAGATGGGGTGGGAGGGGAGCTGGTTGCAGCACGGGGGGGGGGGACTCCCTGGCTTCTTCAGCAGCCTGCCTCATCTCTGTCTCCTGGACCCCCTCCTCTGCCACAGCATCTTCCTGCTCACTGAACCCTGTTGCCTCTTCAGCTTCGGACACCTGTTCCTCCCAGTCAGCTCCCTTTTCTCCCTTGGACTACTCATTGTGATCCTACCACTAGTCCCCTGGCTCTGAGCCTTCTTTCCTTGGGGGTTCCCAGCTAGTGCCCCCTCACACTCCTCTGCATCCAGCCAGCCCATGACACATAGCTATTATTATTATTATTATTATTATTATTATTATTATTATTACAGAAGAAAATATAGCACTATTTTAACTGTAGCTAGATGTGATGCTTAGATGTAAAAGGACTACAGTGGTACCTCTGGATACGAAAGGGATCCGTTCTGGAGACCCGTTTGCATCCTGAAGCAAACGCACCCCGCGTCTGCGCATGCACGGGTTGCGATTCGCCGCTTCTGCGCATGCACGTGACATCATTTTGACCGTCTGCGCGAGCGGCGAAACCCGGAAGTAACGTGTTCTGTTACATCCGGGTCGCCGCGGAGCGCAACCCGGAAATGTTCAACCTGAAGACAACTTCAACCCGAGGTATGACTGTACGTTGATTCAGACATTCTAGACTAGTGTCTCTTACAGTCACTAGGTTGTATCCGTTGTTAAAAATATTCAGAGTACACCCATTTAAATTAAATTAATCAGTGTGAATAACTTATCTCCATTAATTTCAGTGGGTTTACTGTGAGTAAAACGTAGCCTGGTATAACCCTCTCTCAGCTTGCATACATTTCATTGACGACTCCTGAGGGAGAACCTACACCCTTATCCAAGGAATAGGTCTTTGATACAGGGAGATGTCTCATTCCGCAAAGTATATACCTGACATTTCACATGAATAATCACCTTAACCTGGGTGCTGTGAAACAGAAGCAGGGGTTGAATGATTCACGTTCTGAATGGAACCATTAACCTCTGTCATTGAGCTGCTGTCTTGGATTTCTGGCAGGACATGTAGATTAAAGTTCAGGAAGAATGAGGCTGAACGCTTGATAGTCTTATCAATATTATTATATTGCTTTGGAAGTTGTTACAACATACCGATATGTATGTCTGAACTTAATTGCATTGTAAAATTGAGATATGATGTAAAGAGAATGTCAAAAGTATCTACAAATACATTAACTGGATGAATTTGATTTGGGAATGGACTAGTTATGGTTGGTTGGTGCGAAACAAACCATGCTCCCTCATTTAGACATAAAACTAAGCCAGGGAGTGTGGTTTGTTTCTTTCTAGCCTGAGCAGGAAGGAAAAAACAGTCCACCTCCGTGACTTCACAGTAAACCACATTAACTTTCGTTTGCCATGACATGGAAACTGAGCCTATATGCATCCTTTCTAATCATGTGGGGGAGGCTAGGGTTACTAGCTTCCAAACTACAGAGGTGCTCAAATCATCTTAGCCAAAATATGTATTGGCACTTTTACTGTGGCTCCTCTCTCAATAGCCGAACTAAAGTATGTTTTTACCCTAGCAAACTGAGATTCATAGTAGTGCTTTTATCCATGAGTAGATGGGGAAATATGTGTCTGATGGAGATGTCGATTTCACCACAATAATGAATCCTTCAAGAAACATCAGTTACAGTATATGTGCCTCTGCCTTCAAATGCCAAGTACTCAAACATTCATGTGAAAAAGAAATTCAGGCCAACAAGCAACCCACACTAACCAGGTACACAAACAGGTGGTACAGAGTAAAATTATGTTTCCTGTGTGTATTTTTTAGTAGAAACTGGTTCTTAGAGACCAGTCTTCCTTCTCTTCTCTCTCCACCTTTTCCAGCTCTCTTGCCGTTTGCTTCCTGCCTGAACCTTGCTCGCCCTTCATATGCACCAGGAGTGGGTAACCACTTTCAGTTCAAGGGCCAGATTCAAACTCAGAGATATCCCTGTGCACTCCCTAAGCCAAGGTGGCCCGACTTTTCACAGCAAGAGCACTTTGATACAGAAACCGTGGGCTGCAAACTCCCTTGTTGTATGTCGGGGGGCGCTCTGGCAGGGTATTATAGCCCTCCCACCTCCTCCCCAAAGCTGAGTAAGTGCTAACTCGGTTTTGGGAAGGAGGAAGCGGGACTCTAGGACCCTGTCGGAGCTCTCGTGCCTCCTCAAAGCCCAGTGCCTTGCTTACCCAGCTTTGGAAACGCAGCGCAAAGGCAGGGGGAGCATCAAATGTTGCTGAGGGCCGATTCACCCTGCCAGAAGCTATATAGATGTCATTAAAACATTAATTATTTAATTAAAAAAATAATCGTAATAACTTTTCTTATTGGTGGAAAATAATACTGGGGAAAGTTATTTGCAGGGGTCCCTTCAAATCTCTCCTCTCCTTTCTGCATGAATTTTCAATGAGCAGAATTTGACTCACAGGAACTCTGGGTTCAAGCCGTTATTGGTTGTTCTGTAACTGATCGCCTCTGTTTTCTGTTGTAATTCCTTGGGGGGAGGGGTATTGAGGAATTTCCATTTTGTGGTGCTATCACTACTGCATGTGGTTTATGGCAGGATGTGGAAGTTCCCGAAGAAGAAGTTATAATTGTAGATTAAGAATGTGACACCATTCCTTGTTGCATGACTTCCTGTCAATTTTCTGTTTCTCAGAAAACTATTGCTTTTAATAGTCAGCCTTTTAATCCTTCAGCATTTGTACTTGTACAAAGTCCTGTAATTTTGTTAAGTATAGATTTGAATTTCCTTTGTCAAACAAAGAATATATAAGCAGTAAAACATTTTACAATTTCACGTGGCAAAGCATCCACTGTTTATTTTGGAAAGTTGTTTATTGGTTAGCTTTGGTTTTAAGATACCGTAAACAAATTCTGTGAGATCAAGGAGTAGGTTTTTCATCTGTGTTTAGATACAACTGGACACCATTTTTAATCAAGGTAGTGAACTGAACTTTTCAAAACTGTCCGGATTTTAACCACTATTTTCAGAACTACTCTAATTGTTGTTCTTGTTAGCATTCCTAGCATCACCAGAAATTTTAACCAGTGTTTGCATAATGGTTCCTGAGAACAAGGAGAAGATTGTCTATATTTAGTAGACTTGGGTGCCATATTAGTTTTTTTTATATAATATTTTTTATTCATTTTCCAATACAAAATTATACAATCCATACATCTTGATTACATCCCATTACTCTTTTTGGACTTCCCTCAACTTGTCTGAGAGTCCTTCATAGTTTTACTTCTTCCACATTTCTAACAACCCTATTTTTTAATAGTTGTTCTAACATTTTTCCTCACAGAGCTTCATTAAAACTTACAAACGTTATCTGATTATCATTTAATTTTTGCATATACTCAATAAATTTTCCCCAATCTTCTGTAAATCTCTGATCTCGTCGATTTCGGATCCTTCCCGTCATTCTGTCAAGTTCTGCATAGTCCGTCATTTTCATTCTCCATTCCTCTATCGTAGGTAGCTCCTCTTGTTTCCATTTCTGGGCCGACTTGGGTGCCATATTGAATCAAGATGGTAGACTGAGCCTTTCAAAACTGTTCTGATTTGATTTTTTATTATTATTTGGTTCTTAGAATTCCCAAGCAAAGCCAGGTGCAGGGCTGCTAGTATTCTATAACTTATTAGTATGCTCATTCTGTGGAGCTAGAACAATAGTAGGCAGCACTTCATAGATGTAAGAATGTTTTCCTGCAAATTACAGAATGATAATGTTGAAGTGCTTTTGGAAGATGTCAGTTAATAAAAGCGTTATTGAAAGCTAGATCTTTCGTGCGATGCTTAAACAAGTAAAATTCCCACATGCAGTTTTTTTATGCCTTGCTTTCTATGTTAGGATTGCTGTGAGGATTCATTGCATAAACTGTAATTCAAAATAATCTGTTTATCCACAGATATTTCTCAGATTATTGCAAGTTTTTCAGTACTACAGCTGCAGCCTAGGCTCGTGGGAGTGGCTGCATTCTATGCACCTGAATATTTGGACAGGTTACACTTTCAATATAGGACCCTGTGAAGAGTAGCCCCCATTTTAGTTGTTTAATAAAACCTTTTTGAAATAGCCCATGCCTTAGCTGTTTTAAGATTATGTTGCTTTTCAGGGCTCTGTAAGGAGTGTATCTGTCTCCCCATAGTCTGAAGGTATGAAATACAGTCATACCTCGGGTTGAAGTAGCTTCGGGATGAATATTTTCGGGTTGCGCTCCGCAGCGACCCGGAAGTAACAGAGCGCATTACTTCGGGTTTCACCACTCGTGCATGCGCAGATGGTCAAAATGCCGTCACGCACATGCGCAGAAACGGCGAATTGCGACATGCAGGCGCGTGGACGCGGGTTGCGTTCGCTTCAGGATGCGAACAGGGCTCCGGAACGGATCCCGTTCTCATCCAGAGGTACCACTGTATGCACAACCAAGGCAGTCTGGGCAGAACGGCTCTTACCCAGAGACAAAAGTTTAAACCTCTCTAAACCCATTAGCCATACATCTTTTCCTACATTTTCTTTTATATTTATGTTTGGAAGTGCCATCAACTTACTCCTTCCCTAGCTCAGAGCTCCTCTCAGCAGTACCCAGGCAATAGTAGTGGCAGTTCCAGGGGATCATACTTGTACCAAGTCCTTATACTTAACTCTCAGGTGTGCCATACAAAAGGCACCGCAAGCACAGACTTTTCTGGAACTCCTTTTCTTGAGATACATGTTATAGTTCCACTATCCTTTCAGTTCCTCTCTTTCTGGCTCAGACTTAGAGATGTATGTCTGCTTTCACACATTTCTACATGAAGGTTGCGTGGACGCATGTGAAATTTTACAAGTGGAAAGGAAAGTAGAGACCACCTCTTCTAATAATGTGCTTGCAAGTTTTTCCTGTGTGTATTGCCTTTTGGGTGTTTCACAAATAAACAGAAAATATTGAAAAATAAACAGCACTAATAGTGATTCACTGCTTCCTGGTTTCAGGCATCTTGGATGTCTAGCCAGCTCCACGCTAGAGACAGTAGAGCTGCAGATGGAACGTGTGACAGAGGATGAAGCGGTTGCTGTGGCTGGAGTTTGTAATGGTGCTTGAGGAAGTGAGTCACCAGGTTCTGCCACAATTAATGATGTTATTGGAAATCTCATCTCTCTAAGCATCTCCTTGGTGTTGAAAGTTTCATTTATTTACTTAAAGGAAATATACACTACCCTTCAGCCAAATACAGCTCCCAGGGCAGCTAACAAATCATTAAGAAGGAGTCCTTGTCCTTAAGTTGACAATCTGTGGTAGCCTTCCCCTCCAGATGTTGGACTCCCATCTGCCCTATCAGCATTGCCAGTGTCCAGGAATGTTGGGAGTTACAGTACAGCAACATCTGGAAGGCAACAGGGTAGGAAACCTGATCTACAGTATAATTCTTAGTGTAACTACAATTCAAGGTGGGTTTTTTCAGAGGAGAAGAGAATTATTAGTAAAAACCACTATTCCTGATCTGAGGTATCACCCCAATTGAAAAACACCTTTATTTCCATAGATCTGTTCATCACAATAATGTGTGTGTGTTTGACACAACATATATTAAACATTTTGTAAGGGTGACAACATCGGCTATAGCCTGTGCTGTGAGAGGTAAGGGAAGCAACCAGATCAGCCAACCCAGTCTCCCTTGCAGCTCTTAAAGGACTAATATTTTATTATGGAATCCACTTTTTGTTGGGTTTATTTCATCAGGTTGTGTGAGAGAGATAAAACTAAAGTAAAACTTAAATAATGCAAAATAAATAAGACAATTCTGAGCTAGATGTGGTGGTCTTTGTATAAAGCAGCCTCCTGTGTTCTTGGAACAGATTCTGCAGTTGGAAAATGATACTTTTGAACAAATGCTTGAAAACGCAAGAACAAATCTTCCTGAGATCAATAAATCCCATTTCTCCGTGGAGAATTCTAGCTGGTTTGCTTCAAAAGTTGGCTTCTTCCTTTACTAATTTCATTTTGCCCCATGGCAGACAATTATCAAAGAGCTCATTTAGCTTTTCTGTATGTCTGCTGGGTCACAGAAAAAATGTGGAACATGACAAAACATTTATTTTGAGGTCTTTAGATGTGAGACCTTTCACATGATTATCATCCCAAGTTCTGTGGGTGTGTGTTTGCAGTGCTTTGGCATAATGAAAGCCTGTTTTTATTCATAAAGAAGTGAAGCCGAAATGTGCAAACACAGCAGTGCTATGTGTGTATGGGGCTGATGGCGGCCCATTTTCCTTCTGATAGCCCCCCCTCACACCTCATATTCCACCTTCAAGCGAGTGCTGAAATGCCCCAAGCATACAAAGCACACGCTGCTTTGGGTGTATCTTCCTTTGTCCTGGTTTGGGTGGCATCAACAATTCTAGTGACATTCCCCAACTTCTTCCCTAGAATAGCAAACATTTCCTACTCTTTGCTTCCCGGACCCCAGTCTCCTTCTCAAGGTAAATGTGGAGCCTAATGTCTGCATGGGGAAACAAGGGGGTGGGCAGCAGGACTTGGCTTTGGAAGTCCTGCACACCAGCGATGGGAATACTAAGACTGAACCATGGGCGTAGACAGGGGGGCAGTTGCCCCCCTAAATCAAGTAAATAAATAAAAATGCTTAACTAACTGACCTATCGCATCACAGATAGCTTGGTTCTGCCCCCTGCCCAACATAAATCCTGGCTACGTCCATGGGCTGAGCTGAAATGCAGCTATCAGAACTGAAGAGCAGTTCAAGTACATGTCAATACTGGAGACTGGTCTGTCTTAAAAACGTTGACCAAGCAGGCATAGGCGCTTGCTACCTGACAGCTTGCACAGAAAGGCAACGCAGGAACCTTTAAAATAATAAATAAAACTAAAACAAATGATGCCTAGCTGGAGTTGCTGTGTTCAAAATTTTAGAGGCCAGGAACAAAGCATGTGGAAAGGTTATTTGTCATCCTGGCCTGGTTGTGGACTTCCAGGAGTGTTTGGAAGAGTGGGACTCAGCTTGCTGTTGCCATGCATTCTTGGGATATATACCTGTCAGGGAACTGCCATCAGTGCCGGAGGGAGAGAGCAAAATCCAGAGGGATTCCAGAGAGCGTCCAGAGAGGGATTGGGAGAGGCAGCCCATCTTCTGGGGAAGAGAATCAGCGTAGCACCAGTGGAGAAGGGGGGCAGATGGGGGAAGCGGCGAGGCGGTGCCATGACTCCTTGCCGGGGACCAGCGGGGAGAGTAGGGGTCCTCCGCTGCCTACGCCCTCCTTGCGCAGAAGGCTTTCGCGCAGAGAGAGTAGGAGGAGACTAGGCGTCAAAGAGCTTCTTTGCTGGAAGAAGTTTAAGAAACGCCCACTGACGGATTCTGCCAGCGATTGAGACAGCCATGGGTGAGTGGCTGTCCAGACAGAAAAGGTTCACTCAGGCAACCCAGCCAGGTGTTTGCACCGGTTTACGCACGAGCAACCCCTAGAACCATTACAATACCTTTGCACACCGGCAAGCTAATTCTTCACGTTTAGGGAATAAGATCTTCCAGAACACGAATGACTAGGAGGCAGTTCAGCTCAAGAGCTTTATTATGCAAGTGGACAGGCTACTATCAGTCTGATAGATCTAAAGGACATTAATTTCACTGTCCGCTTCAATTGTCTGTGGTTCTTGTTGCTATTATTGTTGTTAATTAAATTTCTATACCACACTTCATCCAAAGATCACAGGGCAGTTACAGTATAAAAACACAGAAATACATATCACAATAACAAACAAAAACACACACACACCCCCGCAAACACACAGTTTAAGAGGCCATAGTTTGGGAGAAGAAGAATGTATTTGCCTGGCATCTAAAGATACGTAATAATGGCACCAGGGGAGCATCCCTGGAGAAAGCATTCTACAAATGGGGAGCCACCACAGCAAAGGCCCATTCTTGTGTTGCTGCCCTCCAAACATTTTGCGGTGAGGAACGCAAAGAGGGGCCTCAGATGATGATTGCAGAGTCTGAGCCAGTTCATATGGGGACAGGCGCTCCTTGAGGTATTGTAGTCCTCAGCTGTTTAAGGCTTTATAGGTCAAAACCAGCACTCTGAATTGGATCCAATTGGCAGCCAGTGCTTTGCAATCAAGTCACAGTGAGATACCACTGGTTCTGTCACCTCCTTCAGGCCACACCATAAAAGGCCCTGCACTAAGTGGCGGAGGAACCCTCTCCGGCACCCAGGGCAGAGCAGCCGTACAGAGTGCACATGTGCGGCAGCCCGTATGGATGCCCTGCAAGCAGCAGCCCGTACAGATGTGCGGCGACCGTATGGGATGCCGCACATGCGCACTCCATACGGGATGCTGCTTGCATACAGCGGCCATGCAGGCTGCCACGTGAGTGGCATCCTGTACGGACTACGCATGTGTGGCATCCTGTATGGAGTGCGCACGTGCTGCAGCCTGTACAGTCGCTGTGCGAGAGGCAGCCCATACGGATGCCCGTATGGATGGCGTGTGAGAACGGCAGCCCGTACGGACGCTGCACTCTACAGCTGGGGGGAGACGGGCCATCTTGTCGCATACACCCCAGAGTGGCTCCCGGGGCACCCGCCCCCTCCACCTCCTACTTCGTACGCCCCTGCCTGCACTACCTTGGAAAGCTCTACTAGATGGCACAGAGGTAAAGGTAAAGGACCCCTGGACAGTTAAGTCCAGTCAAAGGCGACTATCGGGTTGCAGTGCTCATCTCGCTTTCAGGCCGAGGGAGCCAGCATTTGCCCACAGACAGCTTTCCGGGTCATGTGGCCAGCAGGACTAAACCGCTTCTGGCGCAATGGGACACCGTGACGGAAACCAAAGCACACGGAAATGCCGTTTACCTTCCCGCCAGAGTGGTACCTGTTTATCTACTTGCAATGCCGTGCTTTCGAACTGCTAGGTTGGCAGGAGCTGGGACAGAGAAACAGGAGCTCACCCCGTTGTGCAGATTTGAATCGCCAACCTTCTGATCGGAAGCCCAAGGGGCTCAGTGGTTTAGACCACAGCGCAAGGAGGATGCAACAGAGCCGTTGCTCCCGCAACCTGGGACCAGGCTGACAGGCCTTTATCTTCTCTGAGGCCAGGGGTGGTCCCGGCCCACAGGTGACTCACCTCTCCTGGCCTTAAGGCGAGCACTCCTCCTGAGAGAACCCAGTTCCCTCCGCCTCTCTGCCCTGAGCCTCTGCAGCTCAGGAGAGGCTGGAGGGTTACTGGACCCAGGGGGAGAGGGCTGGGAGAGGCGCACCTGTAGGCAATGGGTCCTCAATCACCTCCGGAGCCAGAGGGGATTCATCGGGTGTCTGCTCCTGAGGATCCAGCACAGGTGCAGGCGCTTCAGAGTCAAGTCCCTGCCCCGGCTCAGCCGGCCCTGGAGGCGGGGACTCCTGTGCAGGCTGGGATTCCTCCGGTTCAGCCTCTGAATCAGATTCCCAGGCCATCACAGCTGTAATCTCTTGTTTCTTTTACATTGCATATAGCATTTTGTTCAAATTTTAAAATGAAGCATGAATGTTGATTAGATCTGTTCTATAGACCTTTCTGTATTGAAAAAGGCAGCACTCAAGGCAACTCTCACAGAAATATAACAATAAATAAAAACAAAATTAAAAAGAGCATTAAAACATGGCTGACTTCTATATGTTATACAAAGTACTGGAAAGCTTAAGGCTTTTCTGAAATTATGTGCTTTAAGCTTGCCATGTGTTACAGAAAAATTGATCAGATATTTACTGGAAATTTGTCTGATGTCAGTTTAATGAAGTGAAAGCTTTCCACAGTGTCATCAAAATGGACTTTACCTTTCAACAGATTGATTGTAATTAAAGGGTTTAAAGTGAGTATGCTCTTATCAGGGATGCTCTATAGTCACATGAAGTGAGAGAGATCAGAGTACTGTATGGTCCAAGCCAAATATTAAGAGGATTTTTGCCAGCTGGTATGAACACATGGCTGCTAATCATTATAAAAGATTTAATCTATATTTTAGGGGAAATTGTTTTCTAAAATTATTCTTTCCAATTAATTATGCAACCAAGTAACAAAATCCTATTTTCTGGTGGGACTCTAGTTGTGTCTAGCATCTACCCAATAGGTGAAAATTTAGCAGCTGTCCCTCCCGTTGAGATGGAATGATAGCAAAATCTTCACTAGTGACATTTGTACATGCTGACAGGAAAAAGAGAACAACCACATCCGTAGTTTGGCTGAAAGTTGAGTTCCATAGTAGTTCACTTCTCTCTTTCTGAATGACAATGCAGTTTAAAGCCAGGGTTGAAACTCAGGATGTGGAGCGACAACACTCCCTTTCCTGATGGCAAGGTTCTGCAAGGACTTTCCCTTGAGGATACCACCCAGAGGCAAGGATGCAGCGGGGGGGCCTTTTGCCTCAGGTGCTCCCCTGCTGTTTATCATACAATCTGAACAATTTCAGGCACTTCATGTGGATTACAGCAGAAGCATTGGAACTGATGGCTTCTGCAGGATTGCTGTAATGATTAAAGGTTCGCCATTGTGCGGGGAGGGGGGCAGTCGCACAGGTCCTTGGCGAACAACATCTGCCTCTAATGAGATTCTGCATGAGCAACCATGGTATGGTTAGGACCAGGGGTCCCCAAACTAAGGGCCGCGGGCTGGATAAGGCCCGAGGGACTCGTTTATCCAGCCTGCAGCGACCCACGCTGCTGCTGCCCGCTCTTACTGGCGCTGCGCGGCTGCCCACTTCCAGGTCAGAGGAGCACTGGAAATAGCTTGTGCGCAAGCGTTATTTCCTGTGCACATCTGGGTCGGAGGAGGCCTGTTCACATGCGCACAAGCTATTTCCGATGCTCCTCCGACCCGGAAGTGCGCCAGAAATAGCGTGTGTGTATGGGCACGCGCTCCCCTGCCCTCTGGCCCGCTGCGCAGTCGGCGCTGGAGACACCGACCCAAGGCGTGGTAAGTTTGCTGACCCCTGGTTAGGACCTACAGTCAGACCTTTAAATGTTACAGCAGTGCTGTGGGATGAACCCTCAAGTAGTGATGTTAAATTCTCCAGAATAATCTTTTGGAGAATATTCTCGAGAATATTCTCGATTAATGAGTTGTGTGCATTTAAAGCAGCTGTGTCGACGACACAGAATTTACAGTTTGTGGAGAATATTCTCCGGAGAATTTTCTAGCAGAGACTATTCTCCGGAAAATATTCTCACCTCACATCACTACCCACAAGAAAATCAGCACTCACACTGCTGCAGGGCACCAGAACAGGGAATTGACCACAGCTGGTCATTTCGATACACTTTGGCCCCCAGAAGCTGCTATTAGGCAGCTTGGTAAGCAGCTAGTAACTCCATTTAAAGCTCTGCAGATACGATGTTTGTAAAACTTTGGGGAGATGTACGTTTTCATTGGGTAGATTATGTATGCTGATAATTTATCATGGGCTACATCAGGAGAGGTTAGTTTTTCTGCTTGACAGTTGCTCATATCTGTAATGAGTAAGGAGTACGTAGTGGGAAGATCTGCCTCTTTTCGAAATAAGATACTTTCAACATGTGTATATATCTGTTTAAGGAGCTAACAGAAATCACTGGGTTAAAGCTGACCGAAAGTCCAGAGGTAGCATTATTATCAATTTACGATGGGGTGGAAGGTTCTTTTTTTTTTTTTAAATAATATTTATTAAAGTTTAGAAGTTACAGAAAAAAGACAACAATAAAAAGAAAAAAGAAAAAACATAGAAAGACAATACAACAATACAGCAAAAAAGAAACAAAGGGGGGAAAAACTAAAACACACATCCAATATTCTTTATCTTTACCTTTCCTTTACTTGTTTCATCGACCTCCTCACACCTCCCTTTTTTTGTATTCTAGTTCAATTCACTATTTCAGCAAGTTCTTCCCATCTTTCTCAATTTTTTTCCTATAATTTATCTTAACGGTCTAACCTTAAATTTTTCATTTTAACCCGTTATCAATCAGCTTTTACTTAATTCTTAGTTGCATTTCTACTAAAACCATATAACTTCATTCCAGCATCCTTCTAACACTCATTAATTTTACAATGTTTCTGTAAGTATACTTTAAATTTTTTCCAATCATCTTCCACCGACTCTTCTCCTGGTCTCGGATTCTGCCAGTCATTTCCGCCAGTTCCATGTAGTCCATCAGCTTCATCTGCCATTCTTCCCTGGTGGGTAGATCTTGTGTCTTCCAATGCTTTGCAATAAGTATTCTTGCTGCTGTTGTAGCGTACATAAAGAAAGTTCTATCCTTCTTTGGCACCAATTGGCCGACCATGCCCAGGAGAAAGGCCTCTGGTTTCTTCAGAAAGGTATATTTAAATACCTTTTTCATTTCATTATAGATCATCTCCCAGAATGCCTTAATCTTTGGGCATGTCCACCAAAGGTGAAAGAATGTACCTTCAGTTTCATTACATTTCCAACATTTGTTATTGGGCAGATGGTAAATTTTTGCAAGCTTGACTGGTGTTATGTACCACCTATAAATCATTTTCATTAAATTCTCTTTTAAGGCATTACATGCCGTAAACTTCATACCAGTGGTCCATAACTGTTCCCAGTCAGCCATCATAATATTATGTCCAACATCTTGTGCCCATTTAATCATAGCAGATTTCACCATTTCATCTTGAGTATTCCATTTCAACAGCAAGTTATACATTCTTGACAAATTCTTAACTTTAGGGTCTAACAATTCTGTTTCCAACTTTGATTTTTCCACCTGGAAGCCTAAATTTTAATGTGGTGGAAGGTTCACAGGCTATGAAGGACTTGCTCACAAATTTATTGACAGCTGTACAAATTATAACAGCTAGGAAGATGGAAGGGGCAAGCAGGAAATAAAATGGAAGAATGGTATAAAGAGGTCTGGGATATAGCTATTAATGATAAATTAACATGTGCCATTAAGGTGAGACGGGGAATATGCAGGAGAAATGATTTTGAGGAGATATAGAAGATGTTTGTAGAATTTGTACTGTTAAAATGGAAAGAGGTCAAACCATCGCAAGAGGTGTTGAAATTTTGGGAGGTTGGATAGTTACAATGGAATGGTCTCGGTGGTGGGGTGCACATTTTTATTCTTATTTATTTATGATTATTACTTTGTCAAAATAGAAGAAGAAGAAGAAGAAAACAAATACAAAAAACAAACAAATGTGTATTTATCTGAGTTATACATGTGCTCTATGATTTTGGGAAACAGACAGCCGAGTCCTAACAAATAGCTTAATGAATGCTGTTACTTTGATGACCACTAGCTTCAGAAAAGAATTCAACAGATTCATATCTGTTAGACATGATAGCTAATTGAAACTCTGTGTACAAAGACAGTAAATCCATCTCTCTTTATCAGGGGCAACAATAGATGGAGGCATTTGGTATTGGCATTCTTCTCCACTTTTGACTATGTTGGGGGTGGGAATGGTTGAATTCTTTGAACCTGAAGTTTTATAACCTAAAGATATAAAAGCCAACTATGTTTTCACAGTGATTAAATGTGAAGTTGCCTATGTTTTTGAGCCAGTATGGAATTTTGAAAAAGTGGCCACAAAATGGGATGAACATGCTCACTTGGCCCTTATAAGTAACAGCGAAAGAGGCTGACAGTATATTAGCCACCACAACACTTACGTAGGGAGAACAACACTTTGCACCTCTCTGTTCTGAACAGAAAGGAAGGTGGTTGTCCAGTCCAGGCATGCAATGAAATGTGGGCATGTTAAATCACTTCATTTTTCACTTTCCAATGTTTCTATCTTCAGCAGGCTGCAGCAGAAATGAGAGATTTGTATGCAAGAAGTGTAATTTTCAAAAGTTCAGTGAAAGGTTTGAGAAGAGGGTTTGTTAGAGAACTTAAGCAATCACTAGTAGATGATATTATAAAAGCTGTGCAAAAAATAGCTTAGTAAACACAAAGACAAGAGAGGAAAACAGACGTGGTAACTTGAAGGACAAAGTGTTCAAAATGATTTTTACCGTACTGAAATAATAATTTCAGTTGACTGACGAGAAAGACTATAGATGGATTTTTAAAGGAAGTTCTTTTCAGGAGATAGCCATTGTTACTTAAGCAAAAGATTTAGAAGAATAGAACACCCACAGACTTGAAAATAATAACCATCACACTTCAGAGCACTTAGTACACAGGTGGAATTAAGAAGGGTCTCCATTTCATATCTTGCATTTATGAAGTGTTTTGTCACAATGGGATCCTAACTGGTGTGCCCCAGGATGAATGTTATTGCAGATAAGCTGTGTCCTAACCCCCCATCATAGGGTTGGATTCAGAGCAGCACTTAGTGGAACTCTCTTAACCAGATTCTAAAATTCAAAGAAACCAGTATCCCTTTTAAAAATAGCTTAATATTTAGTTTTTTATTTTGTATTTAGGTACAATATTATACATACACTTACTTATGTCATACTTTATATATCTAAAATAACAGATTCATCTATTTTATATTGATTCCAATTCAAAAGAAGCTCCGTTCAATTTGGTTGAAAATTTTATTTTGCCTGCATCCTTCCATCCCATAGTTGCTTATATCTCATTACTTTATTAATGATCATTATGTCCCAGATCTTCCTCTTCCATTGGTCAATTGTTGGTAGACTATCAGTTTTCTGTGCCTTTACTATCAAATAACACTCTGCAATCAACGTGTGTGGCTAGAACAAAAGAGTCTCTTGCTGAACCTAATGCTGTTTCATCAGCCTTAAAACAACTGAGAGCCTCAAGCTCAAAGCAAAATAAGCTACAATTCTTGTTTCAGATGTAACACTAAGCCACAGATTGTCATTTGTTTCATCCATGCAATAGCAGTTTGCAAAATGAGAAGAGAAAACCACCCAGAAAGACACATTCATTGTAAGCTATTAATTATGCTTTACTGTGATATGTGAACTGGGCACTGGCCAGAGTCTGAGCTTCCAAGTATATAATAAGCAAGTCATGGATTTTAAGCTTCTTTTTTGTTTATGTTTTCCATCCTCCGGATAGTTTCATAAGTTCAGTTCACTTTCTTATCCATTATTCAGAAATCTCTAGAAGCAGAACTGTGGTTATAACTATCACTTGTCAATTCAGACATTCAGCCAAGCAACAGTTTGCAAATCACAGTTTCTGTCTCTGGTTTCCTAGCTGATCACAAACCTTGGTTTGTCAATATAGATCCACTTGCAAACATAGCTGTCCCTCTTGAAAAGCAGGTGTTTGATTAAAACAGACCTGGACCTCCTTCCTGGCATAGAGGATAATTAAATTGTTGTTCTCTTCCATTGTCTGATGGATACAAAAAATTGGTGTCAAAGAAGAAGGGAAACTTCATTGTCTTAATTTCCCAAATTGAAATATTGCAGTTTGTAGAAAAGCTTGTTCTGGGAAAGGTGCTTTTCAAACATGGTGCTAAAAGATTTTTGATGTGCCCTGGTTCATTGGCTCAATTTCTTTAAGACACTGAAAGAGCAGTATTATAGTGTAGATCCCATACTTTAGCTGATCTTACTTTGTGCAACAAATTATGAATTATATGTTTAATGAAAATACAGACCATGAGCAAGGACAACAGGATCTGCGTGGGTGGGCCCCTAGGCCTTTTGTGTGCTGTGATATTCAGCACAGGTTTAAGAGAAAAGTCCGCCCACACAGACGTCTCTGCAGAACTGAAGCTCCCACCCTTCTTTCTGTACCTTCAAGTTCATTTTCTTTCATTTTTTTTTCTTTTTCCAGAATATTTATATCTAAAGAGAGCTTGGAAATACCATTGTTGACAGAGAATATCAGGGAGAACAGTCTTCACTAAAACGTGCTCAGTGTATCGTTGCTGTATTTTTAATACATTACATTTTCCATTATTTACTTTATGTGTTTATTTAACAAAATATATTGCTTGACTGTAGATAGAAACTGTAACCAACAGTTAAGCTGTAAACAGGTAAAAAATACCTGCCAACCGTTACATACCTAGATAGGCCTGCCAAAACAAAAATGTTTTTAAAAGGTGCAGGTGCCAGAAAGGGTTCAGCAACGGTGTCAGGAGGGGGGGAGCCCCAAAGTGTGGGTTCCAACAGGCTTTTTAGAAGTGACCGCTTTTGATGAATGGGCTGGTGCCATGCTGTTTTTACTGTGATTATTTTATGTTTTTAAACATATTTTGATAAGTATATAGTTTTAATTCTAGTAATGCTTCATTTTTAAAAACAATTTCCCCCCCGGTATGTTTTTAGCTTTTGATGCTTTTATCTGTAAGCCGCCTTGAGTCTTGACAGGGTAAAAGGCAGGGTATAAATATATAATAATAATAATAATAATAATAATAATAATAATAATAATAACCAGTGCTGGTCTCTAAGCAGAGGTGAAAGAGGCTGAGACTAAATTATGCTTTTTCATTAGGCTGTTTCAGAAGTTATTCATAACCTCACACCCCAGGGGTTTTAATACACTATGAGGAAAGATACTCTGAAACATTTTCACTTGTGCTTTGCCTAATTACCATACAGCAAAATGTGCTGAGGATTTTTATCATATTTTAGTTTTATTTTTTAATCTCACATCTGCACAAACATAGCTGTAGACCCAGCTCTTAATTTACTAGTTACTGGGTGTCCTTATATAAGCTACTATTTTACAACCTTTGTCTCCTCCCTAGGGATAATGTATATGAAGTATATGCATGCTTTGCTTTGCTTTGCTTTGCTTTGCTTTGCTTTGCTTTGCTTTGCTTTGCTTTGCTTATAGAGCTGAATGGGAGCACCAGGGTCATCTAGTCCAACCCCCTGCAATGCCGGAATATTTTGCTCAGTGTGAGGCTCAAACACACAACCCTGAGATTAAGAGTCTCATGCTATACTGACTGAGCTACCAAAGGATTATTATTATCATTTTAATGTATGTACAGTGGTGCCTCGCAAGACGAAATTAATCCGTTCCACGAAAGTCTTCGTCTAGCGGTTTTTTCGTCTTGCGAAGCAACCCTATTAGCGGCTTAACGGATTAGCGCTATTAGCGGTTTAGCGGCTATTAAAGGCTTATCGGCTTATCGGATTAGCTGCTAAAAGGCTATTAAAGGCTTAGCGGCTTAGATAAAGGGGGGGAAAGCGGGGAAAAAATCTCAAGACTCACAAGACATTTTCGTCTTGCGAAGCAAGCCCATAGGGAAATTCGTCCTGCGAAGCAACTCAAAAACGGAAAACCCTTTCGTCTAGCGGGTTTTCCGTCTTGCGAGGCATTCGTCTTGCGGGGCACCACTGTATCACATAAAGTCCCAGGGGGTGACAGCAATTTAAAATACAACATCAGGATGAGTCCTGAAAGCACACATCTGCCAAAAGGTGCATAGTGAAGGTGCCAGGGGCATGTCTGTGGGGAAGGAGTTCCCCAAGTAAGCGGCTGCCACAGATTGCCCTCTTCTGAGGGTGGCAGAACTACCAAGAGATCTCCTTTGCACCTTGCCGTCAGAGAGGAGAGGGTCTGCAGGGAAGGAGAAGTCTATCAGATATCTGGGGTCTAAGTTGCTTTAAAGACTAATGTGAGCACCTTGAATGGTGCCTGGAAACCAACTGGCAATCAATGCAGCTGTTTTAAAATAGGGGTTATATGAGATCTATATCAAACCCCAGTCCAGTTATGGCTTCCTTGTGTTGGTCGTCACTATTTCTATTACCCCATAACCCTCTGAGTCTTTTTTCCTGTTTCTCTAGAGGCACATGCAGGGGCTTGTACCAGTGAACCTGTGCTATAGGGTGTGAGAGAGGAGTTTGCTATACAGTTCCTTTCAAGTTCATTAATTACGATCCGCACAAGAGCCCTGTTGGTGGCACCGTCTCTGGCTGCTGCCTGGTTGACCCATGACAGGGCCTTCTCTGTGGTGGCTCTGTTTGTGGAATGCCCGCCCAGCTGAGCTTTGTCAGTCTCCCTCACTATTAAAAACATTCCTGTTTACTCAAGCATTCGATGGCTAAACTATGGCAACTATGAAATTAATAACTCCCATCCTGGGCTTCTCTGAGAGGAAAGGGTGGGATAATAATAATAATAATAATAATAATAATAATAATAATAGGGCCCCTCGCTCCTAGGTTTTGGAGGTGTCTTCCAGATCTAAACCAGATTTGCCTATGAAGCCTACTGAATATAATGGGATTTAAATCGCTCCTTTTCTTTGTTCTTTCAAAAAAGAATTGCTATGTGGTTAGCAGTTTAAAATAAGCATTATTGTTACATACATACATACATGGTTTTATGTGTATGCCACCTGTCCACAGTTCAAACCATGCACAAGGCAGCTTACAACACGGGAGGAAATATAACTGCACCGCAACCAAGTAGTCAGACAGTAAAGAAAACATGTAAACATACACAACCAAACTGAAGAATTTCCACATAAATTGTTAGGATCTGATCCAAACTTTATCCAGCAGTAACACTGTTGTTTATGCGTGCCCTTCACAATGGGCTGCAGTTCAGTTTAGAGTTTGGAGTGCGAATGAACATGCTTGTAGCCTTGAGAACTATCAGTTGTATTAAACAATTAATATTTACAAAACTCTTATGTTTAACCAACCCCAGTATTTTGTTTCCGGGAAATGCATTTTTTAATGCCAGGTTACAAATCAGAGTTAAGGTTTTGTTGTGCTGGCTCCAGCTCCACAAAGCCAGGAAACTGGAAGTTAGGCTCCCATGGCTTCCCCAAAAACAACAATATCTACACAGCTTTTGTATTCTATAGTGAAGAGACTTCAAGCGCAATCCCGTCTTGACTCCCCAGTGGCTGACACAGCAGGCCTCTTTGTGTGTGCTTCCAGGAAAACACTTGACAAAATGGAAGTAACAAAATGCAGCTCTGGCTCTTCTGCCAGAATAATTTTATTCAGTTCTAATGTGTGTTTGTTTACTTTAATGGGAGTAGCACTCCAAATGCTTATTCCAGCTTTGAAAGCATTGTCTCTGTAGATTGCCAGCAGGGTTACTGTCTTATACTGCCTAATTTAACTGTTGGCTCTTTTGTATTTGTTTTAGTTTTAATGCCTTTCCATTCCTACACAAAATGTTCCATCATGCTGTTTGGCTTTAAAGATAAGGACGGTTACTGACAACCACTCCAGTCAAGGAAAACTATCTGTGTTAAGCTGTACACCTTTCAGTGGGCAACCTGACAGAAGTCTCTGAATCGTCTACCTTGTGAAGAATATGGAAGGGTATTCTGCTGGTTTTATATCAGTAATATTTGTTTTTGCTCTTACGTCTGCAGTGCAAAAAGAACTTAAATGTTCATATGATAAAATCACAAACAGTAAGTTTTTCTTTCTGGGAGAGGTGATACTTTATTTTTGATGAGGTTTTGGGGGGAAAGAGCGACTGCTGCCATGTGGTCGGAAAAGGGCTGTTAGAAAATCAGGGGCCAACCCCTTTTCTCTAGTCTAGTGTGATACTATAATAGGTATATTAAATGCGTTGCAAGTTATGCAGCACTTATTATTAGCAGCAACACTCATTTTCATCAAAAATTATCTGAGGCATGTAGCTAAAAGATCAAGTATTGTTTCCATAATTTACAGTTCTTTCTTCAGGCAGATACAACATCAAAAATAAAAACTACTCCCGTCATCTTCCATAATTGCAGTCCTAATATGCACACAAGTTCGCATTTTGTTGCTGCCCATTTGGAATACTTAGCTAATAGCCTTTGTGTTTTGTGCTCACAGTTACTAATAGTTTCAAAACCATGTCCCATCCATTAAAATCCACAACAGGGGGTGGGGGGGTTAAGGCCCAAGTAATTCAATCTAAGTGTTCTTGGGTGCACATACTTTCAGACTGCAAAGCACTTTACAGCCTTTATCTCGCTAAATAAATGGGCTTGGTGGTATTCCTTCCACTTCTAGAATCTGATAAGGATTCCACATTTTACTCATTCCTCTCCTTTCCTTTCCTATACAAATGGCATTTTTAATTGTTTAAAGAACACAATGAGCTTGCAGAACCTTTCAGAGTAAAAAGAAGAGCAAGCTTTGCCCTAAAAGCAGCAAAGGGAGTTTTCTCTCCGTGGTACAAACAGTCAAACTATCCTAGAAGGTTACTTTCACCATTGTGTAGAAACCGCTCAATGGCATATGTAAGCAAGAAATAACAGGCGTTCTTGGTTCAAATATAAGAGAGAATAATGAGAAGAATGAAAATCAATGACATTGATATGTAATTAATTTAGAATGGCAAAAGGAAGCAGTGTGTAATTATATATAAGCCATAATTGAGTTTTAGGATTCTATGCCAGAGGATGTCATCAAAGCTGAACTGGGCATAATTGCCTTATTAGTCCTCATTTACTTCAAAGAACACTGTGCAAATATTCACTCAGCTATTGCATAGCTAAGTTCCTTCTCATGACTTCTGCAGCATTCTTTATATTATTAATCTTTCAAACATTAAGGGTACAATTGTATCTTAATTACTTTGACTTCTTTATGCAAATAATTAGCAAGGGTGGGCACCAACCACCAGATTTTGTTTGAACCCCAATTTGGTGCTTTGGAAAACAGCCTGCCTCAGTTTGATGTAGCTCAGAGTCTATCGAGCTATATATTTTTTTCTTTTTAACAGAAGTGGTTGACTGTTGCAGGCCCACTAGCTTACCTAATTACAGGGGCTTTTGTGCTGACCACTTTTAAAGTTTTGGATGTGTGTGTTTTAAGGAAATGCCTATACTTTTTAATCTTGTCACAGAATTGGATAAAATTAGCATAAAGAAGGCTGATCGCCGAAGAACTGATGCTTTTGAATTATGGTGCTGGAGGAGACTCTTTTTTTTTTTTTAAGAATAATTTTTTATTAACCGACCAATCACATCAAATCAAACCAAATTCCAAAAATTCCAAATTACACAGCCGAATTTTAAATTTTTGTTGGGAGTACCCATATTTCAAGTTCCAAAGGGATCCAATCAACTTCTTGCTTCTTACTGCTGTTTTAATGTCCACAAATCTAACCTTATGATGTTCACAGTACTATCCAGTCCTTTCTTATTATTTTTCCACATCTCTTGTTGTTATTTTCATATATTTTTCCTTTCTCTTTGTGACCTCTGATAGTCTCCGCAAGCTGGTTAGAACAGTTTGTAATCCTGCATGGATATTATTTTTTTTATCCAATAGCCATATCCAGACGTTTTCCATGTAACATCACTTCCATACATCAAAACAGTCTTAGCGTCATTAATCTTCACCAATCTGCCTCCTTTCTCAAAACCTCTGAGGAGATTCACTAGGAATGCAGTCTGAAAACAAGTCCTTTCTTCCTCCCGGCTATAAATCCTTTGGCAAGATGGCGACTCCGAATTAATTGCTGCGCCATTCCCAAAAGCTCTTATTGCTTCTCGGTCTCCATAAAGCATACTTTTGGTTAAAGTTTATCTCCACACAGACCTTAATCATCCTGCTTGGGTCAGTTCAACCGACGGTTCTAATGAGGAGGGGTTCTTGTAAATCACATAGAAGGAAAGGAAAAATGTCGTCGTCCCCCATTCAGCCCCGTTGTCAACATACCCCGCCTTTGGTGTATCTTCATCGTAAAATATTCCTGTTTCTCCAGCCCGTCGTCTTCTTTCGCAGAGGTCACTTAAATTAGCAGACTTCACTCCCCTTCTTCACTTGAAATATGTGCATTTGCTTCTTTTGTAATTAATTATTCCAAATTGCTGCAACTAGTGCGCGATCAGAAACAGCGTCCAGGAGAGCCAAGGTCCACACGGGGGCATTCTGCCTAGGGCCCTCACCCCCTTCTTTCGAATTAGGGGGTGATTTATGGGCACAGCAGGCAAGGGCAGTGTTCCCCATTTCTTTGGGGCAACAAGGGAGGCTGCCTACTCCCATAACAGCCTCTTAATTACCCCGTGTGGGTCGGAGAGATGGTATTGTCGGCCATCTTCCAATGCGCCCCCTAGTGGCCCCCCAGTGCTGGAGGAGACTCTTGAGAATCCCATGGACTGCAAGATCAAACCTCTCCATTCTGAAGGAAATCAGCCCTGAGTGCTCACTGGAAGGGCAAATCCTGAAGCTGAGGCTCCAGTACTTTGGCCACCTCATGAGAAGAGAAGACTCCCTGGAAAAGACCCTGATGCTGGGAAAGATGGAGGGCACAAGGAGAAGGGGACGACAGAGGACGAGATGGTTGGACAGTGTTCGCGAAGCTACCAGCATGAGTTCAAGAAAAGTCGGACACGACTAAACAACTAAACAAACAAAGTAGGCACGGGACCCATTCTGAAGGCAAGAAAATTAAGCCACAAGAGCAAATGTTACAGTTTTATAGTCAATGAAAAAAGAAGCACTGTGGAAAATTGGTCTGAAAAGTGCAGACCTGAGAGGGGTGACACTGAGTAAGAAATCTGCCAAAATACAGATAAATAGGGACAGACTTTAGTGGTAGACACTTTCTAAAGTTGATTTTGGGGGTAGGAAAAAAAAGATTTACTTTCTTGGTATAATAATTCCTTCTGATTACAAGTTTAACCTATCAATCATAATGAAGTCCTCCCACTGCCCTCATTGGTGTTTGCCCTCCCCTGCCCCCGTCACCTGACTATGGCAAGCTCTGAGACATTACTTTGTTTTCAGCAAATGCTTTGTCTGCAACATTATTTGATGCCAGATTGCCAAGGTGTCAGAAAGTGCTTCCTGCTTCCTGTTTCAATTCATGCCACCTCATACAGAGGTGGAAGAACTGATGCAAACATTGTCACACTCCCCTTGGGACTACTCATTCCAGTCCTTTCCTTGGTAGAAAAGGGTGCTCCACCGAGGAAGTGGAGACCCTTTGCCATCACGTCCCTCTTTTCCTGCCCTAGGTAATCTTGGTGGACCCCTTGAGATGGGGAATGCGAGGTGAGAGCCCTGCAAATGTTCTTTTGCTTGCTCACTTGAAATATATGCAAGGCACACACTAAGTACTGAACAGCTTTGGGGTAAACAAGATCAACCTGACAGATGAAAAACTTTGCTGCAATATCTCCATGCCACATTGAGAAATTTCTGATTGGGTTGCCACCATACATTTCTGACTTGGATGCAATCCAAACCCTTAAGGATGCAGACAGTGGTCTCCATATGTACATCCTGGACTACTTCCTGTTTAGAAGTAAACAATATTCATGAAATATAGTCACCCTATGCCCCTGACTCCTTTATGTTTAAAAAAAACCTTTCGTGTAGCATTGTTTGGTGCCCAGTGTTTAAGAAATAAAGGTCTCAAGTCTCTGTGCACATACCAAGCGGCATGGGGCTCTGGAATGTGGTCGTTTTTAGATTATTACCTTCTGTTTCATGGTCTTTCCATGTCATCACTGCTAATGCTGCAAACTTTTGAAGAGGATATTTTAACAGTTTTTATTTATATTGAAACATCCAGCTCTAAAAACTAGCTAATCCAAATCAATTATGGATGACCCGTGTCCTAGCAACACAGAGAGGGGAGCTGTTCCAAGTGATTATGACAAAACTCCCTTTTTCAATAATGTAGAGAAACATGAGATGGCGAATCACAAATGTGAGGGCGTTCACTGGCGCTGGATTTTTTGTAGCTGCCTTATAGCACAATCCTACACATCTCTACTCAGGGAATTACTCCCTATAAACCTTAAAAGCCATGTTAATGAACAGCATTTCATGTTACCTTCCTGTATGACAATTGTAGTGTACTTCTTAAAAATTAATACATATTTGAAATTTGAAACACGCAGGGCAAAGGTAACTTTCCATTAAAAAGTGGTTGGGGATAAATGCATCAAAATGCAGCATTTCTCTTACCATTATTTAACACAGGTGTCATTTAAGTGTTTAGAGTATCCTTTAAAACAACTTTCTGCATTCCACATCTGTGCTTAACTATTATTTTTTCTTCTAATTTTATCCCCATCTCTACTAATTGAAAGCATTTACCGTAATCACAGCCTGCTAATGTACTAATATCTACAAAATTTTGCACATAAACAATAATAATTTCCCAGACTATTTCCCATTCATTTTCCTAACTTTGGCATACTTAAATTTCATCAGAAGACATCTGTCAGTTGAGGCAAGTTCCAGATCCAACTGGCCTTCCTTCCAAACTTTTCTCTGTCTCACAGGTTGTACTTTCTGCTTCGTTTTCTCCACCGAGGCCGCCTCAAGTGTTTTCTGCCTAAACCTCAAAACTTCCAAATCTACCCTGTTCTTTTGGGCTTTCTTCATATCAATCATCTTTCCCCAGTTTTCAGGCTTCCTCTCCAACTTTTGCCTAGGAACATCCCCTTCCGCAATTCTCACTGTCCAAGACTCTATTGTTTCAATTGGTTCTTCCACCCTGTTACTGCTTTGATCCAAAGGGCTGAAGCATCATTTCTGCACAGTCCCCCCACCCAAGGCAGGAGGAGTAATGAGAAAGAGTGACGTGGGGACCCCTGTACCATAAATTGAGAGGATTGGCTTTTCTTGTCTGCAAAGGAATTGCGGCCAGTCCCACTGAAATTAGGGAAGCAAGCCAGGGGACAGGGTGACGGCCCTTCTGACCTTTAAACACTGTCCACCCACCGCAGCGTCCATTCTTCCCTCCCAGGAGTGGGGAGACCTTTCTTCCCCTCCACTGTCCTTATCTTGTTCTTCCTTTGCTCTTGGAACACATGGATTCCTCTCACTGAGTGTTTGAAGGTCCCCCTTAACAGCTGCACAACTGGCAGAAATTCAACGGCAGAGTCTACATGTTAGGCTAATGTTGCACTGGTGGGTTTTTTTGTGTCCTCCTTTGTTCTCATCTTCAGTGGTACATATTTTCTTTTTGGGCAACACATAAGGAACCACCCTACTTAAGACTTTGTTTGTTCTGAATAGTGAAACCTGAAGAAGGGGACAGTTCCTAAGCTTGTGTACAATTGTTTTTAATGACTAGCAACGCAAATACTATTATTTGTATTTCTCAGTCTTAGAACATTACTATGGAATACATGAAAACAAAGGGGCATTGTATGTGCTTTTGTTAACTTCACCATTCATTCCAGCAGGACTTGTATAGGAAGAATTGCCAGTGGATTCTGCTTATGGTGGGTTAGAAAGTATCTTTCAAATTCTTTGTGTGCAATACTTCACACATACCAACTGGAGCTGAGCCTGGAAAGGTTAACTTGAGTGCTGGTAAATAATCCTCCTTTGATTTAAGGGTTATAAATGATGGATTGAAAAAAACGTAATATCATAAAAGCAGTGAAATTAAATTTACTGCACTGTAGCAAATGGAAGGCTTTCCTTCTGTTCTTGGACTTGCTCCAGTCCCTTCAATCCTTTCAATTTAATCTCCAATAGGATATGATTGATTCTACATTAGAAGAATTAAAGAACAATTCCTCTTGAAAGACGGATAACTTTCCCCCCTCCTCCTATAACATAGCCTCTTAAATCATGTAATACCCAACTAATTATGGGAGAGCAAACAAAATTCTGCATATCAAATGCTTCTCCCATGGAAAAGAATCACAGATACAAGCCTCACTTTCAGGATTTTGATTCTGCCATTCTGTATCCACTTACTTGGGAGTAATCTAATTGACCTCAGGGTAGACATGCATTTGTTTGCACTGTACATGTCAGAATTATATTTACAGTGGTACCTCAGTTTACAAACTTAATTCGTTCCAGAAGTCCGTTCTTAAACCAAAGCGTTCTTAAACCAAAGCACGTTTTCCCTACTGAGGCATCCCGCCACCAGTGCCCTTCCACCATTTGGCTTCCGTTCACCCTCTTGGGCAAAGTTCGCTAACCGGAACACCTACTTCACCGAATAGTTCATTAACAGGACTGTTCGTAGTCTGAGGTACCACTGTATTGAGAAATTATAATGAATAGTGATTTGTTCTTTTCTTTTGCTGCCAAGATTGTAGTGCATATGAAAACAACTAGGCCAATAAGATTGTACTGCATCTCATTAACTTTGAAATTATCCAGCTTTTATTTGGTGATCATACATTGTTTGAACCTCACAGGATAGGAATAGTCCTTCAAATAACTTTTTGAGTCCTGCAATTGGATTCAGTTGTAGTGGAAGCAATAGGATGTTAAATAATTTTATACAACATCCTTACCTAACTGCACAATGGACTAGTTTGTCTCTTCTGAGATTGCTGATTTTATATGAAAAGAGCAACTTTGGCAATGTCTCTTTGCCTTCGTTTGATGCGACTCATTGTATATGATCAGTGTGTGCTTAGCTGTCATACTCAGCTACAAAAAGCAAGACACACCGTCTTTTCTGGGGTCTACACACATTTCATATTGGTTTTTTATTTTCATTTATATTAGCAGCAGTGGCTTTGTAGCTACATCTAGGCAAGTCCCATTGAGGGAGGAATCTTAACTGAACAGCAACTAACAAGGTCTCTTGAGACATATAAATTCAGGTGAGCAATTTTTCACTCTCAACGTAAGAGAACACATTTTCCAAAGGCATAGTCAAATTGATTTAAAAGCACCTTTTTCAGGTGATGCTTACTGCAGCCTATATTCTCCAAAGAAAGCAAGACCACTGCATGGTATACAGAGAGGGCATAAATAGTCTGTATCGCTAGTTCCTGAACATTTTGGCCTTTACAGAAATACTCTTACCGACTGTGGTGCCTCTAGCTTCCCCTCACTTGCAAGCATCTATATGAACAGCCATCTTCCTGCAATATCATGTGTAGAAATCCTCTTAGATCAGGCGTAGGCAAACTCGGCCCTCCAGATGTTTTGGGACTACAACTCCCAGTGATCCCGGCTAACAGGACCAGTTGTCAGGGATGATGGGAATTGTACTCCCAAAACATCTGGAGGGCCAAGTTTGCCTATGCCTGTCTTCGATAATCCGCTCTGCTGCAATGATGGGCTGTATCCAGTGCTAGTCCTACTTAGAGCAGCTCATTGAAATTAGAATTGTAGAGTTGGGAGGGACCCCAAGGGGCATTATACAGACATCCCCCCACTTACACATGATCAGCTCACGTTTGACCATGTATCCGCACGGTGCTGGGAAGTAAATAGATTCAAACCAGGAAATTGTGGGAGAGAGCTGGTGAGTCCTTGTGGCTTGTGAGGACAACCCTTCACAGAGCCAGTGTGGGGGCAGAGGAAGCCCCAAAGAGACTGCAGACACAGTGGGGCTTTTTTTAGGCTGCTCAGCCTCCCTGCCCAGCAGCTGACATGCACAAGTAGCGCAGAAGCAGCCGCCACTTTCCCATGCGTCCTACAGCCTCCAGCCGGCTTAGAAAGACAATAATGTGGAAAGAAAAGACTCTACAAGAAAAGTAAAGCTGAAAATTGTTCATGTTATATTTGTTAACCCATATGCTAAATGTATTATAGTGCCTGTCCAAAATGGATTACCTACTGAACTTTCGAGTTATGGGGACAGACTCAGGGGTCCCTAAAATATGATTTAGCAAAGGATGTTTGTGTCCCTTCAGAGTACTGTTAAATGTCACTGGGAAGAATGTGGGAGGCCAGGCTACATGGCAGGGCGAATGAAGATGCATTCTGAAGGCTTTGATAAGAAACATATTTGACTGCAGCAAAGCAGACAGCACTTATCAATCTGGGTAAGCAGAACTGACAGGCTTGACAAAAATAGCCTTTCACATTTCCTTGTCTAGGAAATAGGCTAGACTGTGAATCATGGATTTCATTGGCTGCATACATTTCCCAAAAAAATTCCCCTGCTTATAGTTGTATCTGTCCTTTCAAAAAACCTTTGGGCAAAGTGCCTCACCAAAGGCTTCTGTGGAATCTTATCAGTCATGGCATAAGAGGCAAAGTTCTCTTGGGGATCAGGACCTAGTTAAGTAACAGGAAGCAGAGAGTGTGGAATATGGGATAGCTCAGTGGGTAGAGCATGAGACTCAGGGTTGTGGGTTTGAGCACATTGAGTAAAAGATTCCTGCATTGCAGGAGTTGGGACTAGATGGCCCTCATGGTCCCTTCCAACTCTACAACTCTATGATTCTGTACGTAGGAATAAATGGACAGTGGAGGGATATAGAAATGCTACTCAGTGTTAACAAGTGTAAAGTGATGCACATTGGTGCAAAAAATCCTAATTTCACATACATGCTTATAGAGTCTAAACTGGTGGTGACTGACCAGAGTGAGACCTTGGGGTCAATGAAGATGTCAACTCAGCATGCAGGAGCTGTGAAAAAGGCAGATTCCATGCTAACTATCATTAGGAAAGGAACTGTAAATGAAACTGCTGCTATCATTATACAAATCTATGGTGTGACTGCATTTGGAATACAGTAAGCCCGTAACTTATGCACATTTAACTTGTGTGCATTCAGCTTTACGTGCATGGCAAAAAAGTAGAAAATTACTTTGGCAATCCCACCCACCATTGAACCCAAAGTGTTTTGGCTATACACAATTTTGGCTTTAGGTGTGATCCCCAGAACATAACCTCTGCATACGTTGTGGGCTTACTGTACTGTGTACAGTTCTGGTTGCCTCATCTCAAAAAAGACATTGTAGTTGGAAATGGTTCAGAGAAGGGCAAATAAAATGATCAAGAGGATGATGAAATTCCCCTGTGAAGAAAGGTTAAAGCATTTGGAGCTTTTTACTTTAGAGAAAAGACAAATAAGAGGTGCCATGAAAGAAGTACATGCAATTATGCAAAGTCGATAAAGGAAAGTTTTTCTCCTTCTCTCATAATTCTAGAACGTGGACATCCTGCGTATCTGAATGTTGGAAGAGTCAGGACCGGCCAAATACTTAACTGTGGAATTTGCTTCCACAAGAGGAAAGGTTGAGGAAAAATGCTTTCAGTTCTAACGTTTCTCTCTTAGGTGAGGCTTTCAGGCCAAAGGAGGAAATCAAATCCACTCCCCAACTCTCCCCCCTCCCTTTTTACAGTTGAGTTTCACCCAAGTAAGCATTTCCCTAGAATAGGCCTCCTCAAACTCAAACCTCCAGATGTTTGGGGGCTACAATTCCCATCATCCCTGACCACTGGTCCTGCTAGCTAGGGATCATGGGAGTTGTAGGCCAAAAACATCTGGAGGGCCGAGTTTGAAGAAGCCTGCCTTGGAAGACTGGTTCATCTTCCTCCATCTCCAACCTTTTCAATTTGTTCTAATATATCACAAACAATAGAAAAACTTTTAGTCTCTTTCCTCACCCACTTGCCAGAGCAGGGCGGACCTGTCGCCACAATTGCCAGCCGATCAGTTTTGCTGAAGCCTGATCCTGAAACAAACCTCCCCTAGGACTATCATGACTCTGTGCTTTTTGCTCTCATGTGGAGCATGGCCTTGGGACAGTTTCTCAGCTAAATAAGCATGGCTGCGCCTGAACCAGCCTTATATGTAGAAGAAATATGGAACAAAACTCACCTTAGGTTATGCATCTGGTCCTCCATTCTCAGTGTGCTCGTCCTCATTTTTCTTCTCTGTTTTTAATGTGAAATTTTATGCCAGGAAGGTTGTTTACAGTTTTGGTTTCACTTGTTTCTGTTAGAAAAAAAGACTGCTAGCATGAATCAGTTCAGAGGCTATTTAGATAAAGTATGTTAAACAAAACCTGACTCTCGTTTTTTTGGGAGGGAGGTGCTGTTGCCTATACATTCCTCATAGCCAGCATTGACTCAGCAAGGTCGTGTGTGTGTGTGCGTTTTATATCGCTGTATGTATAGTTTTGGTTTGACTTGTTGAAAAGTCCGTAAATTCTTCACTATAACTTTGACTTCGAGACTTTTCCTTGAAAGACACAAACAGATAGCTCAGTTTAAAACATATTATTCTCATTAATATGTATAACATTCAGTCTGCGTCTTTCAGTTTACATTAAAGCAGGTTCTGTAACATTAATGTATGTGTCAGTCCATATTTATCCTTTTATTTTACAGTACAGCATATTTGTACGTATCAGTAGTTCTGACATGTAAAATAGTTTCTCTCCCCTTCTTGCTCTCAGTGCTGAGGAATGCCCAACACACTCCTCTGCCAAAATAAGAATTATCTGATGAGCAGTGTTGTTGCTTGACTGAAGCTGGCATTCAGGGATGGATAAAATATATATCCTGTACCTAGTTTGCAAGGCGTCTGGTTTGGGTTTCAACTGTCCTGGTATTGCGATTTTCAAACAACAGAACTCTGAAGAGTTCCTCCAAAGCTTATTGGGGCTCTTAAATGAAAAGATGGGGAATGGTGGGCAAAATCCACAAAGTGCAACCACATACTGGGGATATCTACTGGGGTTTAGCAGCAGTTTCTGGAGCAAAAATGAAGCCCAGGAGGCTGGCTGTGTGTGTATGGTAGCAACCACTTCTCAGAAACTGCTGCTACACCCAAGGGATTTATGTCAAATGTGTAGGCATTCTTCAGCAGACAATTTGATGCAGAAACGGTTTCTGAATGTAGGAAGTTTGAAAGCTAACCTTTATGCATATTAGCTTTATGTAAAAACATTGCCTTATAAAATAGGACAGTCACTTTCTCACACTGTATGATTGATCATGTAGACCATGTGACAAGCTCTATCCTTGGCGACTCTCTGTGCGCATCAGTAATCTATACCACTTCCTGCATGTGATGGACAGTGGGACCATGAAATCTTATGCTGCAACAAATTGGTTTGTCTTCAAGGCCCCACAGGACTTCTCCCCCCCCCCCCACTGCTTCACCTTTCGTAGGTGGGGGTTGTGTTGCTGTTACATACTCATATGACTTTCCTTTTGGAAGAAAAATCAGTATGGATATTTCCTTTCATCATACTGTTTTCTGTTTTCACTGTTCCACAGCCATTATTCCAAAGCATTTCTGTGAAGGAAAAAGTCTAGTTTGGAAGCAGTCCACAGATGTTCTCATCCAAATAGTCTTTCTTGCTCCTGAATTTTTTCTTTGTTAAGTTTCCAGCACTTTTTCCTAACATCTTCCTTCCTTCTTTGTTCCAGGAATCTGAATTTTTGACTTTGGAATTTGATGAGATCAAATTGAATCAAATGGTGAGGAAGCTTTCGGAGATTGAAGACAGCATTACTTCTCTGACTCAATCAAACTAGCTTTTGAGTTAAAACTGTGTATGGCACAAAATATGTTTTCATTCCTGTTCATTCCTTTGGTCATCATGCTTGTTGTGAAATATTTTAGTTCATTCTTCTGTCATGTAAGAATTGAAATAAAGATGACAAAAAGTAACTCAGGAAAAACATGCATAAACGCTTGCAAGGATCATTCCGCCCATTAAAACAAAAGGATGTAATTGGATTAAAATAGAGTTAATAGCAGAGCTCTGCAGAACAACAGGAGGTATTGCTATTATTCACTTTTTTTCTCCAGCGGTTGAGACCAGAAGAGAGCTCCCTTGCCTCCAATGAGAACGAATGTGAAAGTGAAAAGAATGGAAAGTTATACATACATTTTCCTGCTTGGCAGGGGGTTGGACTCGATGGCCCTTGTGGTCTCTTCCAACTCTATGATTCTATGATTCTATTCTATGATTCTATGATTGCACTGGGGAACAAAGACAAGAGTCCTGGCTCAGATGTGAAGGCCAGTTCAGACATTTATCTTAAGCTGACATCGCAGCTTGCATGGTGAAAGGACAGGTGCATGCCCTGTCGCTGCACATAATGTGTGGCACAGGTACTCTAAACAGGCCTTCGTGTGCGTCCTGGCTCAAGCTCCCCCTTCTTTAGGGGGAAGAGCTGTGTGGCTCAGACCACTGCACAGATGGTCCTCCATGGGGGGGGGCTAGTTACATTATGCCTAGGCCTCCCTCCAGTGAGTTGTGGCAGTGGCTGCTATGTGACAACAGGCCCAGGAGAAAAATCCCTGTAGGAAATTCCTATACGTACCTTTATTTCCCTTCATATTCAGCAGCAGTTTGTTTGTATACACAAAGAGTTCATAATTGGAAACCACTGTCAGACCCTATCAGGAAAATTAAGCATAAGTGTATTTTGGCTACTTCAAGCACAATGCATGAAAGTTCAAAACCCCATGCTGGAAATTATTATCCAGTCATTTGAAAAGCCTAAATAGGTGTAATTTCAGATGGAGAGCAAATTAACATCAGAAAGACTTTTCAGCATGAACTGTTACATCTCTAGAGCAATGCCTTGTGGTATATTACAGTGCATATTGAAAATGTAAAGTGTAGGGCAAAATATTAAAGTGACATGCGTATATGAACTCCAGAACCTCTCAGGGGTGACAGTACTGTTGCTTGCTTTCTGCGGATGGATTTGATTGTGGGGAGGGGGTTTGGGGGGGTTCTTTGGCAGGGTTGTTATTGGGATTTTTCTTTCCCCTCCTTTGAGAACATCCTTCAATATTTTAACTAATTTATTCAGCATGTCAAGTGTTCAGTTTCATCTTGGCATTGGCTTCCTTACAAGGTTCAAATTACTCCCATTTCTCAGTGGGGCTATCTGCCTCAAGAGGAGAACTGGTTCTTGCCCAGGACCCCCATGTGTGGTCCCATTCCTGCTTTTTCTGACAGTGTGAGAAATAATTTGATGCTAGGTCCTAGTTCTCTCCCCTTCCCTCCATATTTTTAATAATATTTTAAACAAAAACAAAAAACATTGCTTATGGGGCAGCAGGAAATACATCTCTTCCCAGAAGACCTGGTTTTCTGAAGGACTACTACTGGATACCAAACCACTGGTTTCATTGTCATGAACACGATTTGATGGTTATTGGGAACATCTGCTCCTACACTACTGTCCTCCTTTGCCCGCAAGAGAGGAAGAGAGTGAAAACTTTGCTTTCACATTGGAGCAATCTGCAGTTCCACATTATGTACAAGCCGTGGGCTGGTCCACCGTCCCTCAGACCATGTGGTGGGCCAGATTATATTTTGGGAGGGAAATGAACGAATTCCTATGCCCCACAAGTACCCCAGAGATGCATTTTAAATAAAAGGACACATTCTACTCATGTAAAAACACGCTGATTCCTGGACCATCTGTGGGCCGGATTGAGAAGGCGATTGGGCCGGATCCAGCCCCCGGGCCTTAGATTGCCTACCCCTGGTTTAAACCCTGGTTTATATCATGGGTGAGGAATCTTTAGGGTTGGAATCCAGCGGGAGCAACCTTACTGGAGCTGCATGGCAATAGTAGGTGGGTCCAGAAGCAAAAAGTAAGGTGGGTCGAAAGATGTGACTCTTATCTTTTATGATAGACTTCAGTCCAGCCATGCAAAAGTCAGCACTTTCTAACCACACACACTCACACCTCCAGGTAAGCAAGAGGCATTATAGACATGATAGAGAAGCTTAGATTAATGCCCCAGGCATGAGATCCTACGCCTTTGATTTAGGTGATGGGCTGAATTGGGCCAGGAAATGGGGCAATGCCTTGTGGAATCCCAGGAATTAAATGATGAGTAGAATTTATAGCAACTGAGTTTTCAGGCATAGTTCCTTGGTCTTCCTCATAACCAGCAAAATAAACAATGCAACATAATAAATGGTGTGGGTTTCCTTAATTTGCACAAATTAGACAAGATTTAAGGTCCTCCCTCCCTCTTATAGCATAGCATACACATCGGACAGAATATAAGGAACCAAGCAGCACACATTCCACCTCTTAATCACATCCCTAGAAAGCACATGCTGTTTCGTCATAGGACAAGTGCAGTGGGATATGCCAAGAGTGCACACATGGGTGCCATGGCAGCAGATGTCCTTGCAAGCCAAGCCCTCAACTGGGCCAAGTATCTGAAGGCACCTTCTCCATCTCATGTTACTTCTCCCTTCAGCACCACAATGACGTCTGGCCTCCTATCATGCAATGATGTTTTGTTTCTGTTGCCACATTTTTGTAATATTAATGGTTAATGATATGTGATCTTGCCTAACGAGTCAAGAACACTAAAACCATGATCTAACTGCTGAGGCACTTGTGACCTTTGATCACAGAATTATATTGAATGCTCAAATATACTTTGGACAAGAATTGTTTTTTGAACTGAAGGACACAGTTTAAATAAGCTACATCATGTCAAATTCTTCAGTGAAACCAGTGGATGGAGCAGTGTGGTGTAAATGAAAGTTGCAAAGAAACTTAAGGCACATGTCAGGAAATAGTATTTTACATACTACAAAACTATATGAAATTGCTTACTAGAGGTTTGCTGAGGCACGAAAGTCAGAATCATTTTAGAAAAAAAATGGGTGATATCCTGAAGTAGCTGAAAAATATTTCTGTAAGTCATAGAATCACAGAGTTGGAGGGAACCCTGTGGGTCATCTAATCCAACCCCCTGCAAGGCAGGAATCTCAACTAAAACATCCATGACAGATGGTCATCCAGCCTCTGTTTAAAAACCTGCAAGGAACAACCACACCCTAGGCCAACCCCAACCTCTCTCACCACCCAAGGAACACAAGTGAATAGAAGAACCTGCACAAGCGACACTGACACAAAACCCCACATATATTAAGTATAACAGAAACATCGCCACCCTCCACCTCCTTCCCCCTTTTCTTCCTAATGTCTCAACAAATGAAACTGATCTGTAAAAAATGTTACTTGAAAAAAAAGAGAGAGATTGCACATACTTTTGTAAACCAAGAAAATATTTTTTTAAAATACATTTTTAAAAAAACCTAGTAGGAAGGGAGACCATTCCACTGGTTGAGCAGCTCTTACTGTCAGAAGGTCCTCCCTGAAGTTTAGTTGGAATCTCCTTTCTTGTAGCTTGAAGCCCTAGGTTTGGGTCCTAGCCTCCAGAGCAGGAGAAGGCAAGCTTGCTCCAACTTCCATGTGACAGCCCTTGAGATATTTGAAAATGGCTATATTTGAAGATGGTGGCTGGGGGAACCCAGTCAGATGGGTGGGGTGAGTACTATCAGTCAACCAGACATTTGGTTGATTGACACCCTATGCCCTTTTAAAACGTGTTGGAGGGGGAATGATTAGGTTGTTTTCATTTTGATTATTTATTTTGTGGTTTTCTTTTTTGATTTTATCCTATTGATTGCCCTGAGACCTGCAGGTATAGGTCGGTATACACATTTAATAAATAATAAAATAAATCATCATCTTCATCATATCCTCTCAGTCTCGACTTTTCCAGGCTACTTGACTCCCTCAACTGTTCCTCATAAGGCTTTGTTTCCAGACCCTTGATCATCTTGGTTGCCCTCTTCTGCACATGTTTCCAGCTTCTCAACATCCTTCTTAAATTGTGGTGCCCAGAACTGGACACAGGACAACGGGTTTGGTCTCACCAAGGCATCATATCCGTGCAGGGGGCGTGGGGCGTAACTAGCTTAGCAACCTGAGGCCTTTGGTTTAAAGTAACCATTTTGGCATTCTGTTTGTAAGTTTGCTTTGTTTTTAATGTAAAAACACAATTAAATACTGAGATATATGAATGACATTTGTTATGTCTGTTCAGCACGCAATTTTAAGTTCCAAGCCTGAATACCAGCTTATCACCAAAATCCCCATCTGCAAAGCAGAAAGCAAAATAGATTTTATATTAAGTGCCAACAGTCTGGCTCCTAACAGTTCAGTGAAGACCTCTCTTCTGCATAGGTAGGACTTCTTGTAAAAATTCCCTCAGCTCTGCCAGTCTACATTTCTGAAATGCTGCCTTGGAAGCAGGTGCTGGACTTCAGCATCTTGAGCAATCTGCATTTTTCTTCCAATACCTCACTGCTACACTATTTGTACAGGGCACATGATGTCTGCAACCTTCGTACCAGACAGGCACTGTAACTAGATTTCTGCACCATCACGCTGTCCATTAAGCATTCAAACCAGTTTCCTTCTGGAGAGACTCACTGGTTGTCATTGTTCATAGCTGAATAGTGGAGGCAGCACCTCTTTCCAGAAAGTTAGTAATTGTGATAACACAAGAAAATACAATATGCCAAGTACGCCACCTCCAAAATTGCTTGTTTACTGCAGTTAATATGTTACCTTCTGGTGGTGCGCTAAGGTTCAATGAAGGCTGTAATCAAAGCTATAAACACTGTAATTTAGCTTTACAGAAAATTACAGTTCCTGTTAAAGAAACTATGCACTACAGTGAGTTGATGTGCACATATTAATTAGATGGGTTTCTGGACACTGTTAAATGTCATGTAATATGTATAACCATCTAGTTTTTGCCAAGCACTAACACAGAATACCTTCACAGTTTAAACTGTTTTTCTGAACAGTTCATGCAGTTAGGCTGCTTTCATCCTGTAAACAGCTTAACTGTGTTCAGGATTGTAACCTTTGTTTCTCTCTCCTACCAGCTTTTTGTGGCAGTTCAAAATAATCTGCTTTGTTTTTAATCTGCTTCCATTGACAGCTGTATTGAACAGTATCATTTACTTCTGATTTATACAGATAAAGTTAAATGCAAGGGGTTGGGGGAGAAACCTTTTATTTTACTACAAAGTTTGTGTGTTAAAATATTATGGGCTCTATTCTTCTTCTCTCCCCCCCCCCATTTGTTTGTCTGAAGCTTAGAAATTTCAGCCAAAACCTTTGTAATCTTCAACTTTGTTCTTCCTTGAATATATCAACTTTTCCGCAACTAAAATCATCCCATAGTTTATTCACCCAACATGGCACTTTGTTGACTGCAACCTTGCCTCTTCTTGTCCTCAATATTAGGCATGGAAATGGCTCTGGAACATCTTCAGCTGTTCTGTGGCTGATTTTGGCCATGGGAACATATGCACCATCTTTTGTTATCAATGGATTTCACAGGCATAACACAATGACAAGAATAATTTTCCAGCTGTGAGTTTGGGTTTGGGGACTAATAATAATGTAAAGAATGTTAGTCATACTCAGAGAAGGCAACTAACATAAGTCCATTCATTTCACTGTGTCTACTCTGAGTAGAATTGAGTTGGATACAACTCACTGCCTACTCTTTTAGTCTTCTAGGATGTTCTGCTCTGCCTGCAAGATGACTTTCTGTTCTCTGTCCATTTGCCTAATGCATTTTATTTCCTATTTTTTGAAGCATAAAGTTTTATCTGTTAGTGGAATGTAGTTGCTTTAAAACTCTGGATTTTTGAAAGCATGTATTAAAAGTACTGGTAGACAATGATCACTGCTTCCCTTTAATAAGCAGTTTAGACTGTGAGGGGGTTTTTATTACTTGAATAAAAAATAAATCCTAAATGCCTCTTGGATTGCTAACAGGAAACATTAAAGCATTTTGACTGACGGATCTAATGCATTTCCCCTAGTTCACACTTGTTTATTTCTTGAACTTTCCTCTGCTTCCCCTCCTGCCTGCCCCAACCACTTCCAGGCATTTTTGTGTTAGTGTGTTTTAAATATTTAGAAAGAGTAGCTCAATTTAGCTGAGGGGAGTTGCAGTCATTTCTAATGAGAGCCTTTTAAGGATATAGTTTCATGGGAGAAACAGGAAGATTCTGGGGTGGCTCAGTGATCCTTCCCAGCAGCTGATGGAACTAATTCACTTTCACAAGCTTTATAATGAAGAAGTCGTGTGGATGGTTCTGCAATGCTAGAGGAGAGAAAACATGACAGGAACTCTAAACAACTGACTTCAACAGCCATTAAGGAGAAATGCAGAAATGACGTTTTCCTGCAGAAGCCATAAATCAGAGGCCATAAGTTTCTAAATAAAAGATGTCAGGGCAAACAGGGAATATCTATCATCTTCGTGCTCTGCGTGTGAGCTCTTGGAGGCATTTGGCTGGCCACAGCTGGAAGTGTTGCTGGACTAGAGGATCTGACAGGCTACCTCATCATGTGTGGTGGCTCCTGACTGAGGCTTCCCTAAAGCGTTCTTCACAAAGTTTCTCCTGCGATTTTCACCTTTTGAAACCGTGGACTTGGATGTTTCAACAAGCTCTCTGTTTCTCAAAGATGGATGTAAAAACAACGAACAGGGAGTAGTTCAAGCTGAAACAATATTGAGAAGGGGAAAGCTGGCTAGTTTTATGGAAAACATTCTTCGTTGCCATTACCGCTCCCTGCTCAGGCTGCACAGAATCACTTCAAGTGACAGAGATGAGCTATCTTTTTATCCCTCTGCCATATTCAAAATCAGTATGCCTAAATGGTCCTTTATCCATTCTCCCCACTGTCGGGGTTGATAAGAAACTGGGGGAGTGGAGCTCACTTATAAGCTTGCTAACAACATCATATTCTGTTCTACATCATTATTTGAATTCTTATAACACTTCATAAAACAGGTGTTGCTTATTTTATTTTATTAGACTACAACTTCACTAATCCCTGACCACCAGGGCTTTTTTAGCTGGAACACAGTTCCAGCACCTGTCAGGTGGGTGCCATTGCCATTATAAGAGAACAAGGAAGGCATTTGTGGTGAGTTCCAGCACCTATTTTTCTAGAAAAATAGCCTGGCTAACCTCTGACTATATTGGTTGGGGCTGAAGAGAGTTGGTCCACTATCTGGAGGGTGCAGCTTAGCCACCCACCATAGAGGCTGACAAACTGGGTCCTTCACAGCCAGTTACTATCTCTACCTTATTTCACAGGGCTATTTGGATTAAAAGGTGGGGGAACCCACTGGCTCTACCTCAAGCTCTTTGGAGGACTGATATAATTGGCATCCATCTGTCTCAAGAGACAATGGCGTGTGCCTCTAGAAGTGAAGCCAAACCGCTGCATTAGTAAAACCAAAGTGACCTCCCCAGGGTGAAGCCTGGCCAGTATGTCTGGAGGTCCTGGGCTGCCCAGACCCCCCTCTCGGCCTCACTGATGTGGTCCAAAGGAAAGCAGAGCAATATGCATGGGGTGTTAGGGGAAGGGTAGAACCTCTGGTGAGGGACACGTAGCGCTCCTTCTGTGGTAGTTTGTCCACCTTGGTCCCCACCCTGCCCTCAGTGCTCACCTATGGCTCCTAGAAACTGTCAGAATGCGACAGCAGCAAAGCCCCAGCAGCAAAGTAGCTGTCTAAACCTGGTCAGAGTAGCTGATGGGTCTCAAACTCTTGGTGGTTAGGGACTTGCCCTGCATGCAAGGACAGGGTGCAGTGGATTGAGCAGACAAGACCAATAGCGGACTGATATAAATATGATTAGTAAACAATAAAAAGCGTTGGTCATTATTCTGAATGCATTAGCATTCTCTCTCTGTATGTGTATATATAACAACACACACACACACACACTATATATATATATATAGTGTGTGTGTGTGTGTTGTTATATATACACAGAATATATAATACCATCCTCCCATCTTGGGGGACAGGGCTTGGCTGGCAATGGAGAAATCTGCCAAGCAGCTTTCACACTAGATTGACTCTAAGGGGATTCATAAAGAATGACACTTCTAGCTTGTGCTGGCTGGAGGCTCTGCTTTTTTCAAGATCTGCTTTCTCATATGTCTAACATTTCTCATCACTAATTGTGCTGCTCCTTTACAAGTTACATAATACTGCACTGCTGAAAAAGCTTTTGTTTGCTGAAAAGGGTAAAATTTCACAATGGAGGTAAAACACACTAAAAAGGAAATGATTATAATCTCATTCCAGTAGAAAATCCCTCTCTTTGCAGTGCCTTGCCCACCCCCTTCTCCATCAGCCAAGGTTGATCAGGTTGCCACCTCTTCTCTGAAGTGGTCCTCAAGACTCTGAATACAATTGTAATTTGCACATAACAGTTTCTTCTGTGTATTAGATTTTGAACGCCTGTTGATTAAAACAAATATACACAGATCTCCAGCTTTTAAAATGTGCTATTGCAAGCAAAGGTGTAGCAAGAAGTACGCTCAAAGGAAGATCACTGGATATTAAAATGACATTGTCTTATCCCATCAATTTCCCTTTGGAAATTTATTTGCCTGCCAGGAAGGGACACCTATTGATGGAAGATTCAAATGTGCAAGAGAACAACAAGTGGAATATAGCAGAAAGACGGGAACGAGGAGGGAATGACGGGATTGGGGAATAGTCAAAGGCGGAGGAGAAAAACATTTTACATTAAGAGGGGTGCAAAGGGGTGTAGTATTAGTGTGTGGAAGAATAGCAGGGAGCAGGAATAGGCCCCAAGGCTGTGGGAGAAAATAACGGCTAATGGAGGTGGCACAAGGGAATCTAATGGCTGAGTGACAGGAACGTGCTCCCCCCCCCAAAAAAAAATTCCTAACACATTTAAAGGCAAATCCAGCTAAGCTTTGGGAATGGCTGCCCAATCTACTGTACCAGCCCCAAATGATGGTGTGGGGACAGAGGTTCCCTAGATGCAGGGCTGTATTTTTGTTAAAACAGTTCTGGAAGCAGATCTTTGCTACGGATAATACATATGAATATTACTGGTCAGCCTTGCTCCCTGATCTGGGGCTTGAATCTATCTGTGCCTTATAGGGAAATGGTGGTGATGCTATTAGGAGTGGCATGTAATGAGATTGCACAGCACTGGATGTACATAGAAGGTTTCTCCTTTAACAGGTTGGTGGCCTGTGTCTGATCTGTTGCACTCTAAACATCTAAGCCAGCGTGCAAGAGTAGTTTGGTGTTTTTAAAAGAAATATCATTTTGACGCAGTGTGACGTAACCTTTTTATGTCAGCTGTCATATATATATATCATCCCCCATCCCCCTTGTTACGTAGTTGAGAGTTTATGTATCCCCAAGTTTTTGAGTGTGAGAATTTCAAATCTGCAGTTACTTTTGTGATTGGACAACATTTAGCTTGGTCAGTCTACGTTTGATGCCGAAGCACATAAACTGCTTTCGGAAAAGAATTTGAATTTTACCTTCTGAAAATGTCAGGTAATGCATAAGAATAAGGATACAACTGCAAGTACTTGGCAATTTTTTTTTAATGACTTCTGTGCCATTTGACACAAATTTTACTCACCAAGCAAAACTAAATTATATTAATTTGACCCAAATGTATTTTGCATTTACACGTAAATGGTACGATTTTTTAGCACCTCTCAATTTTGGAATTTGAAAGCTGACAAATCCAGCACACCCTAAAGCCTGTGGTGCCGATGCAGGGCCTCTTTGCCACGGCTGCTCTCTGGGTGGCTGTCTGGAGGGGCCCCGGGCTGTGGGGGGCCCAGACTTTGGCCCCAGGGCCTCCCGGCCTTGTTCTCCCCGGAGGTGGGGGAAGGGAAGAGGCCGAGCCGGACGGGGCGGCTGCGCTTGCGCTGTGGGGAAGAGGGCGAGAGAGGTAAGGGGGCAGAAATCAAGCAGCCCTGGGGCTGGAAGAGGGTCAGGGAATGGAGCCGCTGTGAGGGGGGACGGGGTGGGTGTGAAGGGAGAATACTGAAGGCGGGAAGGGGGACTGGAAATCTCCGCCTGCAGGGCAGCCATTTTGTGGCAGGGCTTGAAACTCCACATTTCCGACTTTGCCCCGTGGGCCCAAGAGGCTTTCAGGGGCCTTCAGATTTATGGCTTCCTCGTGTTTTATTCCCTTCCCACAGCTCAAGCCTGTTAACGTCGTTCTGCTCCCGGTATATAAATGCAGGGAGCCGGGAAACGTTGGTGGCCTGGGAGGCGAGAGGGGGCCGGAGTTTTCTGCCTTTGAGGCCTTGTGCTCCCAAACTTCCTCCACAAAAATATAAATAAATATAAATAAAAGAGGGCCAGAAATAAGAAAGCACATTCAATCCGCACACCTTTGTTTATGTACAGATGAGGAAAAATAATTCAGATTGAAACATCCTTTTCTATTGCAGTGCAGATCAGATCATCAGAAGACATAAGCATTAGCAAAAAAACGATTAGCTTACTATTTAGTTTTTTAAAAAGACCTTTTCTGGCCTTTTTTGCGGAAAAAATCAAACTACCGCATGAAAATCAATTGCTTTGGCAATGTTTGATTCAACACTTAGCCTGGCCAAATCCACAAGACATTTCTGAGACATTGCAGATAATTATTAATTAGCTAAAATTTGCTAAACGACCTCTCTCCAGAAGCTACTGTTGCTGGAATTGTCAATAGTATACTTAATACTATTAACACAAACATTTGGAAACAGGTCACAAGTTTACTAGATCTAATGGCTTTAACTTGATATTTGATTTGATTTATTATATTTCTATGCTGCTTTTTATTCAAATAAATCTCAAAGCAGCTTACAAACAATAAATGACAAGAACATAATAGAACATAGTAGAACATCAGAAATATAGCATAAATCATAAAATAATTAACAAATCATCAATGAAACAATTACAATCCATAAAACACTTAACGAAGCAGCAACTGAAAAAATATGCTAAACATCACAATTTCCCTCCCAGATCCCCTTTTTGAGGCTGGGCAGGAGTACAATGTACCCCCTGCAGCCCCCTCCCCTGGTTTCCAAGCAGGTGTCATTGTGTCAGTGGGACTTTGTTCTGAGTAAATGTGCTGAGTGTTGCATTATTGTATGAGGCCAGCTAGTTGCTAGTTCAAATCTTACTTTGATGGAGACTTCACAAAGTGGGCCAAACAGTAAGTGGAAAACCTACATTCTAGGTTGTTTGATAGATTGCTGAGAAATGAGCTGGGCCTGAGTGAAAAGCGCTTGGAAGCTCCTAAAACACTTTAGTATTGTGCACCTGTTTGGCTTTCTTCTGGAATCTAGCCTGATTGCATTTTTAGTTTCTGTTCTCCATTCTCATTCAGACATAGCTGAAGATGTTTCCTCCTGCTACTTCCACTTCTCTGCTTTAAAAAGGTCCTCTTCTTTCTCAGCAAGCCATAGCTTATTTCTCACAAGGGCAAAAATGTCTGTTATGCCTTTCCCCCCAAAATTGAAATTCTATAATATTCTTAATTTGATTACTTACGTCTGTCTTGCCATCCTTAGTCTCTCTTCTTATTGACTTTAAATTGTTTTCTCCCGCACATTTCTTACAATACAGATGAACCCACCAGCTGGGATGGGATTAAATAACAGGATAACCCACCCCTAGGAAAAAGGGTACTGTATTGTCGTTCTCTGCTTATTTTAAGAGAGATGCAATTTTCATACTCTTTACTGACCATATTAGGCAGTATGCAATGTGAGGGTCTCCCTCTAATATTTACTAGTGCTATTATGTGCCTTCTCCATGTAGAATCTAATTTCTTACCCCACATTATGCCTCAGTCTTCTCCTGCAAGGGAAGAAAGATTCAGACCAAACATCTTTCTGGCAGTATGCTTGTGAAACAGACAGGACCAGGAAGTGGTGGGGTCTTCTTCATTTGCAATATTTTTAGCAGCTGTCAGGGATGCTGGAACGGTAGATTTCCTGCACTGGGAGGGGTTTGACTAGATGGCTTTTGAAGCCCATTCTAATTCTGTGATTGCGTGATTGGCTGCCACTAGCATAGGAAAAATAATGTTGGGGGAAAATCAGGTCTGGACTATCAGATGTTACAGGGAAAGGGAGAAAGTTAAATGTGGTGGATCCTTATCCGAGAGATGTTCACAGATGACGCAGACTTGACAGCACACTCCAGTGAAACTCTACAGAGACTCATCAGCCATTTTGCCCAAGCCTGCAGGGAGTTCAGCCTTACCCATAGCCTGATGAAGACCAATATCTTAGGTCAGGACATTGCCAGCACTCCACACATCAGCATTGGTGATCACACACTTGAGGTGGTAGACAATTTTGTCTACCTACGTTCCACCATAACCAGCAATCTCTCCATCAACGTTGAGCTGGCAAGGCAGCTATGGCAGTGGCTCGCCTCTCCAAAAGCGTATGGGAGAACGTGATGCTAATGTCCAATACCATGATAAAAGTTTACCAGGGTTGCGTCTTGAGCACGCTGCTTTATGGAAGTGAGTTGTGGGCAGCTTACAACCTATTTGGAGTGATGTCTCGATGCCTTCCACATGAGCCGTGTCAGGAGGATTTTGGGTATCAATGACAAGACAGAATTCCAAACAAAGATGTGCTCACGTTCCCAGCATGTTCACATTCCTGTCTCAGCGATGTATATGCTGGCATGGTCATGTCCACAGAGTGGAAGATGTCAGGATTCCCAAGGATGTGCTTCCAGCACCAGGCCAATTGGCAGACCAACTCTGCATTACAGAGATGTCTGCAAATATGACAAGAAGGCTGGTAACATCAACCATGCTACGTCTCCAGGCACTTGCAGACAACTGTAATCAGGGCCAGATTTAGGTTTAATGAGACCCTAAGCTACTGAAGGTAATGGGGCTCTTTATATGTCCAGCTGTCCTTTGTCAACAACAAATTGTCACTTTTTTGTGTTGAAT